AAGTCTTTTTAATTCCTGTTTACTGATCTTAATATATTTATTTTAATATTTTTCAGGGCTTACAGTATTTGTGGAAAAGATAAAGTCTGCTGTCGAATTCCTAAAGCTTCTGATAATTCACATACAACAACGAAAAGAACACCAACAAACACACAAAAGCCCGGTTTTCTTAATTTCAATTTAAATCTCACAAATATTATTAACACAATTCTAAGTCCAGTGCCAGCATGGAATGATAAACCTACAGACAAACCTTTCCAAAGATGTTCGTCAAGAAAAGGAAAGAAGATTGAGAAGAGAATTTTAATTGACATTGATGACGATGATGATGACGACGATGCTTTGTCAGGTGAAACAAAGTTTGCTGAATATCCTTGGATGATTGAAATTCTTAAGAAAAATCGTAAAACAGGAAGTTACGAATATAAATGTGGAGGAGTTTTAAGTAATGATTATGAAATGTTGTTCTGATTAACATTTTTAATAACTTAAATTTTTAACAGTCAATCCAACAACAGCGTTAACAGCAAATCATTGTGTAAAACAAAGTCGAAATTCCAACTATTTAATACGAGCTGGTGAATGGGATCGCAGCAGTACTTTAGAGTATGCGCCACATCATGATCGTGTGGTTTCACAAATCATTTCACATCCACAATATTATTCTGGAGGCTTATACAATGACATCGCTTTACTAAAATGGCAAAATCCGCTTACAAACGAAGTTAACGTTGGATCAATTTGTTTGCCAGAAGAAAATGAAAATTTTGAGCATGGAAAATATTGCACAGTTACTGGTTGGGGCAAATCTTCTGAAGATTCAGTTACAACTGATAAACTAAAATTTGTTAAAGTTCCAATTGTGAAGCACACGCAGTGTGAACGAATATTCCAAAACAACCGACTTGGTAGGCATTTTCGACTTCACGACAGTTTTATTTGCGCCGGTGGAGAAGAAGGACTTGACTCGTGTACAAATGATGGTGGTTCACCACTGATATGTCCACGAGATGATGGTTCGTTTGTTCTCGCTGGTCTCGTATCATGGGGATTGGATTGCGGTCAAAAGAACATCCCCGGTGCATACACAAATATTGAACATCTACTTAAATGGATTAAAAGTCATGAAATAAATGTTTGATAAATGTTTATACTGTTTTATTTCCATCACTTAGGGGTGTGGGATTAGCAATTTTAAATAAAAGTTCAGTTAATTGATATCCCATCAAGTCGATTTCATAACGACGAATTTCCAGATTTATGCGTTGTTGGTCAAGACTTAAACGTTGTTCATCAATTTTTTTAATATTTTCAACAAGACGACGAATTGTTAACTGAGCTTCTCTAATGGACTCTTGAAATACTGCAGCTGTGTTAGATTCTTGAGATGACATGTCCTCATCAGGTTCATCGATTGGTGCATTTGGGGCTGCATTTGATGCTGGTTGTTGTTCCTGAACATAATTAACAAGATAATTATTTAGAATTGATCTGTTTGCAGCATTATTTTCATCAACATTATCTTCGCACTTCGGAACATTTTTTGGATTTATTGGGATTTGTTCCTTTATTTCACATGCATTATTAAATGCAATGATTCTTGGTTTCTTTGTGATTGTTCTGCGAAATTTGGTTTTAATACTAAAATATTTAATAAATTTCATTGAGGTACTTACAAATCTTCTGCTTCTTCTTCAAAGCAATTTCCAGATGCCTGTGAAGACATTGGCGTTGAAGTGATGATTGTAACAACTTTTTCCTTTTGATCTGATTCTGTTTCATTCTTTCGTTTTTCTGCTCTCTTTTCAGTTGGTTTGGGAAGTTCATTAAAAATCTTATCAAGAGTTTGAAAATATTCCCATTCAACACATGAAACTATTCCTCGCTCTATATCACTTTTCTTACGACGATAATGACTCTTCATGTTCTTTAAACGACGCTCCAAATCTTTAACATGAAGAAAAAAGTTAATTAACATTTAATTTTAATTCATTTATCTTGTTATTAAATTACTTTCACAACTGATTTCATATCCTGCAAGTTTTAATCGTTTTTCTATCATCTTCAAGATTTTGAGTTTCTCTAAACAATCATGGGATTTGTAATATCTGGAAAATTAATTATTTTAATGTCGTGATTTTTGAGGTTAGGAGTATGTTTGACTTACAGAGCGCCATAATTTGCCAACACAAATTGATTGACTTCCTTAGGTATAGGAAGACTGCGTTGTTTTGATACTGGAATATTATTCTTAAGCTGCTCTAGCAATGCTTTTTCATCAACAGCTAGAGTTGAATCATTACATCCAGATATTACCGACGTGGTTTTATCTTGACTTGAATCAGACATTTTGCGAAATGATATTAATGTTACTCGGTTTATTGAATATCTGGGAGGTTTGATATTATTTTCATTAAATGATGCAGTTTAAAATGTATTTTTACTTTTAAATTGTTTGAATGATGTAAATGACCATTAAAAATAATCAATTTGTTGCATTGATCTTATGGCGGAAAACAAGACAATAGTGTAAGTTTTGACTAAGTACACATCCTTTGTAGAATTAGTCAAAATTTATGTGTAAGACACGAAAATATCACTCTTGGATGTGTGCGTGATCATCTTTTGAACAATTCAAATTTCTTAGCCGTTATTATCTCAAAAATATAATTTTAAATTATCTGACAATGAAATTAAATTATAAAAAGCATTTGATGTTAAAGAATATCTGATGATTTAAAATTACAATCTTTATTAAATTTAACAATGACTTTGCTGCAAGATTTTACAAACAAAAATTCAACTCTTTTCAATGAGGCAATCAAAACGAAGTTATTTGTTCATTGTGACCAAAAAGGAAGGCAAAAAGCAAAGCAAGAAACAATTTTTGGTATAATGAATCATTGAGGTTTTCCCATTTATCGGTCAGACAAAATACCTAATTGGGGGCTGTCCGAAACAGCTTTCAATGCTTTCTTTCAACATGAAGAAAACTTTCTTGGATGGAAAATTTATTCATATTAAAGCAACAAGTTAAACCCAACATCTCAATTACTCCTCCTTCCCACAGACGCCCGAAAAAAAAGATACAGTGACCTTTAAATTACACTCTCGAATAGTCCACATTTTATCGTCTTCCGACTCCACTTTTATTGCCATCATTATTGACAAAAGCAATCAATAAAGAATGAAGAAAAATCTACTCTTTTGTTAATGTTTGAAAACTTACTTCCTTTATAGTTTCTTGAGATATTTGCTATGAGAATTAAATATATGTATACAAGGAAAATCAATAATTAGAAGGCTTATCTAGTGTTTGTAAATATCTGTTAATTATTCTGAAATTATCTAATTCTGTTCGGGATTATTCATAAATATTTAAATGATATTTAGGATAAAATCAGAAGATAGAAATTGTGTAAAATTTCTCCAACAATCAGATCAACTTTTAGCTTTATAAATATCTACAGATAAATTTTCGTATCTCATCGGAAAATAAATTCTCGTTGTGAGTGCTTCACTTAAACATTAAAAACATCATTGAAACATTCAACAAAAAGAGTGAAGCATTAGAAAGTCACTAACCCGTGTTTAATTTTCTTTCATTTTCCATTCTCAAAATTCTTCCACCCCCTCAAAACGCGCGCAAAATCTTTCAAAGATTTAAATGTATTAATAGACAACATGCACAGACACAAATGAATATTTGTACAAAAAGAGAAAGATTTTCCGAAAATTATTCTTTTCCAAAATCTCAGGGATGACGAAGGGTTCAAATTATAAAAACGAATTAAAGTAATTAAAAGTATTGATTTTTTTTCTCTGTTTGAGGACTGTCTTTATAATGAGTTCAGATAAGAGAAAAAGCTAATTTGGAGATTTTGTTGACAGAACAAACAAAGAAGGAAGAGAAGAAGAAAGCATTTCCTGCTAAATCAAATAAAACTTGATGTTAAATTTCATCTACAGAAAACATCAAATTCACACCTTCCTTTTCTTGTGATTCATTTAATTTTGTCTTTTTTTATTCTCTTCAAATACTTTCCATTACTGCTTTATATGCACATAGATTTTCTGATTAACAAACACAATGATAGCGCGTAGTTAAATTTGATTTTCATTTAGGGGGAGGCGAAGTGAAAAGTTTTACTGTTGTTTTATGGCTCCGTTGAAATTAAATTCAGGGATGGGTGGTGTCCTGAAAAATGACTCAATTCTGAAATTTGAGAATGAGATGAGCGTAGGTAGAAAGGGTTGGGACGATTGAAGCAATTAATTTCTATTTCATGTACATATGAGATTGTGTTTAAGTTTGCTTAAGTGTGTGTATATAAGTTTATTGCGTTGTTTTCATCGTGTGATAGATTTTTGATACGTTTCTTTTCCGACAGTGCCCCGGGACACTGAATTTAAATGGGAAAATTTATTTTTGGAGCTTTAATTTTAAGATGAATAAAAGAATTCTTTGCCAAGTTGAAAAAAGCAAATTTCCTGTCTCTCGTGCTGCTCTCACACTCATCAAAAGCAGTGAGATTTTTGGGGTTAATTTCTTGAGTTTTTTCCACCCCAAAACATATAACATTAAAGTATATGATGTGGAAATTTAATCGAAATTAAAGTTGAATCGTGTCTTTCGGCTCCCACAGCGGTTTTCATTTAAAACGACTTTAAAGTGTCCCAAAATTTTCTTCTTAAGTTTGTTCTCCCCTAAGCTTCGTCCTTTAATTCTCTTGAGTCCCCACCACTCATAAATTCCCCTTCACAAAGTTCGTTGAACTGCGAAAGTAATGTTTTTATTCATTTCTATTCTTAATGGTTCACTGATTGACCTCATGAAATTATTTATGTTGAGAAGTGAATAACGATTAAATATTTAACAAAAATAGAAAGAAAGGACATGATGAACAGTCAAGTAGTTAACTGAGCAAGAAAAGATCGCAAGACTGACGAGTAGAATACAAAATTAAAGACACAAATCACGTCAGTAAACGTGAGACTTAGAAAGGAGATGAAAAGCGTTATTCATCATGTTACATGTCATGCTTCTTTAAAAGAACTTCCCGTAGATTTAATTTAGCGCAAAAATAATTTTTAATTAACATGAAAATAAATGTAGTGAAATTTATTCATAATGAAAATATTAAAGGATAGAAAATTCATAGCACGAACGAGATTTTTCATTGAATTGTAAGCTTTCAGAGAGAAATAAAATGTTGACTCAAAACATGCTTGAGTTCTGGTTTATTTTAGAATTTTTATCTGATTTCGACTTTATCATTATTTGAAAGAGTTTTATGTAAAACATTTCGTTCCAGCTTTTTAAGTAGATTTGTAGTTTGATGACTCTCAAATATTAACTTCAAGCTATTAAATTTCCATGAAACAATTAGTGAAAAAGCTTTATTTTCCGATCTTCAACTTAAATACAAACAACATTAAAAGGATTTCAATTCAGTCAACAATAACAAATTTCCTTTTTTATTTAATTTAATAAGCTTTAGTTTTTCTAATTATTTTCTTCATAAAACGTGAGCTTAAAATTAAATGAGTCAAAAGATGTTGAAGATTAAAACATCTGAAGCAACTTTCATGGAAATATATTTTAAATCATGTAAAGCTTAGAATTAAAATACTTCCGATATTTTCAAAGGAAATAATTTGAATTTTCTTTGAGATTACTTTAAATAAGTGGAATTCTTTCACTCTCATCGAAATGAATCGCGAGGGTGGCACCGAAAAGCAATAAAATTTAAAATATCGATTTTCAACCGAGTAGAAACCTCGAGAAAATGAGAAAATTCCATCGAGGGAAATTTATTGAAAACAATAAAAATTCTCGACGTGGAGAAAGAAGAACAAGAATTTTCAAATGGAAAAAGTTGTCGTTGAAATGCAGTTTGTGGAAAATGGAAAAAATTTGTATTTTAAATTTGAATTGCATTTCTTCTTCTTAAGGAAAGCCAGAAGAAAAAGGAAAATTCTCTTTCTTGGTGAATTATTTTAGCATTCATTTTTGTCATAAACAAGATGCAATTTTCTGGTTCAGATGATTTTAAGATTTAACGATTTCATTTTCTGTTTCTGTTGTTTATGCTTTGACTCGAGAAAAGAGGAAGAAAATTGAAAATGTAGTGAAGCTAAATGTAATTGTTGAACAAACTGTTGAGGCTTAGCATATAAATCGGAAAAGTTTTCGAAGGGGAGGTGGGCATGAAATCAGGAAACAGCGAAACAGGCGAGAATTTAATGACCCCGAAAAAGCCGTAAATAGTCTTATCAAACAAGCCATTAGCGAGCCTTTATCCATCATTTGAATGTTGTTTAAGATTCTTATCGCAACTCACGATATAATTTGTGATGGAAACATGTCGAAAAAAATATTCAAGTTCTTCGTTTTTCTGGGGAAAGTTGAAAAATGAAATTCTTCTCTATGGTTAAAAAGTTGCTTTTGACACGCACTCATTCTTTTCCTCAATAATTTGGGTTAATTAGGTTGTGCTTTAATAAATTTTTTTACCTGCTACTTTATTTTCGGAAGGGTTTTCGAGTTTACTGTTCTGAGTTATCTTGAGATTTTCCTTTAACTTTTTACGATATTTTCATACTTTTCTTTAATGTTTCACGCTTTTCGTTTTTAATGGTTTTATTGATAAGTTACGTAGCGTGTTGTGCATACATTGGTTATGAGAAATCTTAAGAAGAATTTCCCTTAAATAATCAGAAAATAATTTTAAATTTTTGTTTACTTTTCTCGGAATTTCTTCAAGGAATATTTTTCTCAATCAATCTTTCAGCTTTGCTCCCATTACTGTTCTGATAAAAACGATGAAAAATAATTTCATGTCGGAAAATTGAGAATCATTCATAAATCATAAATCCTTCATTTTAACACGAAGTCCAAGTCAAGTGCAGTAAGAAAACGGGTCAGGAAAGTTACGTAAAAAAAAGTGTAATTACATTAATAAATTTTTCATTTTCTTATAATAAGATTCGCCATTTTTCCTGCTGATTTATTAAAGTCAATCTTCCATCGTAATACTTCTTAGGTTGTCAGAGCTTAGACTCTAAAGAATTGAAAGAAAAAGATGGAAAGAAGAACAAGAACAACATCATTTCAAATAACGAAATCCTTCAGAATCTTTTGTTCTCATCTTTTATTAAAAGAAAAGAAAAACCACTTAGAAAATCATCAAGATTTGACTTCACAAATTTAATTTCTTTCTCGTTTCTCCTTGCACTACTTGGAGTCATGTGAGAAACATTGAACGAAATTTATAATGAAATGAATTCTTGGAAACAATTTAGGATGTAAATAAGAAGATTTTGTATTAAATCTAATCAAATTGAAATTCTTTTGTAATTTCAATTTACTCTTTTATAAACCTGAACATGAATGACACGACTAAAACTCAACTTCAAAGCTTAGCAAATATTTCAATCTTCTTCCTCAAAGACTCTTCCACATGTGTACATCGCCCCAAGAAAATGAAGAAATTCAATCAATAGCTTTCAATTGGAAAAAGAAGAAGTTTCTTTTCGATGCAATATGATTTATCATGCACAATCATGCTGAGATATGATGGTGAATTTTCTTCATTCTACTTTTCAGCTTTCTATATTGCAAATTGTGTTGTTGATAAGACATGACTGACGATGAAGAATTATGATGTTTTTAAATCGAAACAGATTTTTCCTCTACTGCTTAGGGCAAAAACTTTCGTACTTTTTATTGGCACATCAAGCGAATAATGAAATCTAAAGAGATGGAAGTCATCGTACGTGCACGAAATTGTGAAAAGTTTCGTGATATAAACTTCAATTTTTCAAAGCAACCCAACGTAGATTGATGAAAAAATAACTTTAAGAATTAAAGAAAAGAATTTTTCCGTATTTTCTTCTTTTCATTTTCAAACTGAGAGAAGAAAAAACGAATAAAGTTGTAAGTCAAGAATATCTGTTGCTTTTCGTCGCCTTTTCTTCCTTCTCCTAGTGTTTAACTTCCTTGCAACATTGCTCTTCAATACGTTTGAATTTCATTAAGCTAGAAAGCAATTCACAGCCCAATCTATTTAAAACTCTGAAGTTAGTTGAAGAGGGGGGTTTTGCGGCATTAAAGACGCGTTCTGTTACTTTGCAATGGAGAAATCATTAGGCTTTTCACAACAGCACATTTTTCAACATCATAAGGATGAAATTTTAACATCATTAATCTGTAAATGGTTAAAAGGTTTTTGATTTAATTAAAAAATCATTCTCACACCTTTTTTTTTTATTTTGATGAGTTTCGTTGAGAGCACAAGAAAATGGTGAGGGGAGGAGAAGAGGAAATGATATCAACGAAAATTAAATTAGATAAAATGTGATGGGAAAATGGAGAAAGTGGAAGTTACATGCTCGTTCTCGTATATTTATTTACGCGAAACGTTTTGAACATTTTTATGAGTGTCATAAAACATGCTATAGTTAGATTAAAAATATAAGTAAAGTTTCAAATATTTATTAAACATAAATTGCGATATTTTAATCATTGCCAAAGTGTGCCAACAATTTCCTTGAAATGGTCGTTTGTCTCTGAAACTTTTAATGATTTTCCTTATGAAACTTTCTTTAATAAGAAAATTTTCTAAAAGCTTTTTCAAATTCAAAATTTTGTTATTTCTAAAAGTTGGATGTTGTCAAAATGAAAAGATTTTTAACTAAAAAACTTTCAGTTAAATCAATAGCAGCAATAAAACTAAAACTGTTTCAATGTTTTTCTTCACTCGTCCCATTCATTCTACAAACTTTAATTTCTTTTTTAGCCTCATTGCCTTCCGGCGAATTTGACTCGTTCCATAAATTTTCGTTCAACCAAACCACCCCAAACGACTCACAAAATCGCGCGCAAAATCTTCACTTATCAGTGTGTTTTCAGTTCAACTAACACAAATAAACTTCAAAAATTCTTATTCTTTTTTTGTGGGGGTGCAAAAAGGAGAAGTGAGAGAGAGCAAAGAAGGAAAAAGATTGTTTTTCGATTGCAGGGATGGTGAAAAGCATGTGAAAAGTTCGGCAATTTATGTTTTTGTTTGTTGAAAACTAGCGAATCGAGTTAACTCCGAAACATGAGAACAGAAGAACATCCCGAACGATGCTTCTAGGAAAAATTATTCAGCTAAATTATTGATCCAAAATGGAAACTTTGCTAACATTCCCTTCCTGCTCTCCCTGTTATTTCTCTAACAACAACCCCTCAATAACATATCAACGATTCTTTCTCTTCAAATGAGGAGGTGATCAATTGGAAAATGTTTTACATTTCGTTTGAATCAAACGAGGTAGCATGTATAAAGCGAATGACCTTTTGTATTGTCGTTGGCTGGTGTTGTCGGTACACGAAACAATCGATGATAAATTTTTAAAACGAATTTCCGGGTTTACAAACATTTTCTTGCTTTCGAGCTTGTTGAAAGCATTGAGTGAGGAATTAAGATTCATGAGGTTATATCAAATGTGGCAGTGGAGTGGGCACAAGGGAAAAGGTATCATCGCAATGTAATGAAAAATCTTTTAGGAGCGTGTCGCAGAAGAGATAGAGAGACTTGAGTCTTGAAAAAGAGACAAAATAAATTGCACGTTCGTGATTCAATCAACTTAATAATCTGTCAATCAATAAGTAAAACAGAAATATTTTCTTCTTTTCAAAATTAGGTCAGGTTTTCTTCTATTTTCTTCCTTATTGTGGAAATAAAAACATCGTCATGACAAATTGGATCACATTTCTTCTTCTTTTCTTCTCTTCTCATCTTTGGTCAAGACCAAATGGGATGGAAAAACATAAACGGCCTTTAAGAAACAACGCACAGACAGAAGATGAGAAAAACAGATGGTTTTGATTATGAAGTTTTCTTTGCTTCGTCAACATGAGACTTTCTGGCTTCCTTCCCTGTTTGTTGTTATTTGTACGAAATTTTCAGAAATTTCTTATACAAAAGAAGAATTTTTCAAATTTTCTAAGTAGGAGAATTTTTTTCTTTTCAATTTAAGTTTGTTTTTAGCAATCAGATATGGAAATCTGATGGTGGATTTAGCTAAAAATTTGTTCAACATAATTTTCTTTTTCTTCTTTTTAAATATGATTAAAATCTTATCTTTAGAAACAAAAATTAAATTTCAGAAAGTTTTCTTTTTTACTTTTTAACATTCAGATTAATCCCTCCATCCAATAAAACTTTCTTCAAAAAAAAAGCTCGAAATGACAAAAGTTTCTTTTTCTCATTTTAAACTTTTTCTCTTTGGTTAATTTCTTCTTTTTCTTGGTTTACAATTTAAAATTGTTGATGCTTCTCTCGCAAGCTCTCAAGAAAGAACGAAGCAAGAAGATCCAAGGGGTGATTCATCATAATTCTATTGCCGGCTGCCTCTGAATGATGCTTTCAAAAAAACAGACACTTTTCCAAAATAATGTCCATTTTCCAAGAATTCACTTAGTTTTACATGGAATTTGTCTCATGCTTCTTGGAATGGCAAATTGCCGGGAAACTTTCTTTCGATGAGTTACCCCTTGAGAAGAATAAACGATAAAAAAAGAGAGAGGAAGAAGAAAGAAAGAAGGAAGAAAATAACTCGAATGCGCGCGAAAACATCAAGTCTTGCATCAAGTTTTTTCCTTTGGCTCTCTCCCTTTCTCTCTCTCTCAGTCATCGTCGTACAACGGCACGATTATGCATCGCCGCAACAACAACACATCGACACGAGACGACGTTTTTCTTGCTCTCGCTCTTGTACATCTGTATAAGGTCGCGATGTGTGTTGTTTTTTGTTGTTTTTCGTTCGGTGCTTTACGACTTTTTCTACTACAAGCGCTTCGCCAAGAGACGTTTTCATGTTTTTTTAAGAGAAAACCGAGGAACGCTTGAAAAGAGTTTTTGTGAGAATTGTGGAAAAAAAGGCAGCATTTCAGTATTGATGGGTTTCTGCTTTCATGTAGACGTGTCGTGTACTTCAATCCCGCGGAATTTTGTTCTCTCTCTCCTAACTTCAGGAATTAGAAAAAAAATAAGGCAAACATAAAAAAAGAAAATTTTAAAATTCATGTTTTAAAAGGAAGTTGTTACATCCAATTTATCTCGTTTGGAAGTAATGCTCTTGGATTAATCAGTGGAATTGTGGAGTGATTTTTTCAAATTATTATTCCTTCAGTGCCATAAAGAATTAAAATATTTGTAAAAAAGTACAACATAAAATTGAAACGAGCATTAAGAATAATTTTTTGTTCAACGGAAAATTGAAAATGAAAAATAATTGAACGAAGGAGAATTATTTTCGACAGTGCAAAAGAAGAGTAATTAATCAAAATCAGGCTTTAAAGTGAAGTGAAATGAAATATGTCAGCTCAAGGAAAGAGTCTCATTAATTAGAAGAATTGTGGAATGTCTTAAAAATTACACAGAAAGAATTTCTTCTCTTTATTAAAAATCCTTTCGCAAGCGAAGATGACTAATTAACTGTTTGATGGAAAAGAAAGATTAGCTGAAAGAAAAAAATTATTCTTCCATGAAATTGATTATCTCAAAGATAATTGAGAATTGTTAAGTGTAAAAAAATAAATAATAGAACAACTTTTCAAGACAAAAATCTGTGGATTAAGTTTCAATCTTTTCCAACTTGGAGAAGGAAACAAGCAATGGATACAAGCTATAACATTGGAAACGAAATGGATGCAAACATGTTTAATCAGTACATGTACAAGGTGTGTGCTTTTTTCTAAAATATTTGTAAACAACGTTGAACATCATTTTTGAAAGATGTGGCGAGTTCGTGAGATAATTCAAGAATGAAGAAACAAATTAACGGCTTCGCCTTTGCATTCAGTTTTAAGATTTTTATCCGCGTTAAAATTCCTTTTTCTTATAAATCTTTCAACGTTTAATCATTAATGTAAAATTATGCGTGAAATTATGCTTTGATGTGCAATCAAAGTAACGTCGCAGTTAAATCGTGAAGTTTGAGCCAACATATTTATTTAAAAATTTTAATTCAATTCAAAATGAAAACCTTCACATCAAAAATGATCCAAATTCGTCAAATTAATAATCTCCGCCCTGAAATATTTATCTGAATTTCCGACATTTGTAAATTAGCATCTTCAACTATTTGGATCAACTATTACGTCAGCCTCTAGCGGAAGCGACACTTATAATAAAACGAGTGACAAATCGTGGCCGTATTTTGTTGATAATTTAAGATTTTTGTTGGTTTTGTTTCTACATCTGGAATTTTGATTTGACGATTTTACGATTTCTGAAATGTCAACTTCTTAACATTCGATAATATTTTCATAAAATTTCTTCTATCGAATTTGATAACCCGCTATTGTCATGAATATTTGAATAAGAAATTCTGTGAGATATTTCGAAAGCAACGTTTGGAAATGTATGTATTGAAGACATGACACAGAATTGCTTTAACATTGTCATAAAAGTCTTTGCCTGGTGAATCATTTTTCGATTTAGAAAGCAGAATTGAGTGTTGAATTTATCTTTCGTCCCTAAAACGGCCAACAACACATGCACAAGCACAAGCAGCAGCGAGTAAGAGTGAAGCATAGAAATTCTCGTAAGATGTAAAGCAAATATTTGTCTTTGAGATTAAGAAAAAATACTTCGAACATTTTTCAATCTCGCCGCCATTAGACTTAAGAGCACGCAGTGTTGATGTTGAGTAATTGAAAACATGGACGTTAGGAGATTTAACAAAACTCTTAATGATTTCCCCTAAGAAAGACTTTAAGCATGACTGCACGTTCATCTAATTTCCGCATATGAAATACTTACAAAAGGAATTTTTCTATCATTTTGATGTTTTCCAATTATGAAACTCCTTAGATAGATTATTTTGAGAAAGTAAGTGTAAGCAACAAAGCAAGCAAGTAAGCAAGCAATAAAAATAGATATCGATAAATCATTTTTCTCATGCCTCATTCATTTGATTGTCGGCCATGAGAAACAGAGACAGATTGCACAATATCATGAGAACCTAAAGTGACTTGCAAGTGACCCGATTTCTTCGTAATGTAATTTTTTTAAATGTCGTTTATTGATTAATCGGTATATGAATGAGAGATTTAACATAAAAAAATTACATTGTTGCAACACGACATTATCTTGTCCCAAATCGGTGAAGATATAAAAGATTATATTACGTTTTAAATCTTGGATTAAACTGTTAATTAAATTTATATTCATCTAATATCGCTTTAAATAAATATTAAAAGCATTTTTAAATCATTAAAAAAAACTCATTAATAGTCGTTCTGCATTCCTTAACATAGATAATAAGTAAAAAACATGAAAAATCGTGAGTAAAAAATCTTAACACTTTCACGGAAGAGTGAAAAGTTATTAATTATAAAAAACACGTTTAAATTTATGATCCAGCAATTCCCATAGTTGCAAACTTATAAGTACAGATTTAGCAAATCATAATTTATGCATCTTTCTCAATGCTCCATCTAATCACTACGTCCATCTCATCCGGATGATAAATTGAACATTTTTTGATTATAAAGTACTCGAAGTTTTATTTACTTGCATTGAAAATATTGCAGAATGCAAGAGAAAAGTGTTTTCATTTATGCTTCACATAAGAAACTTGCTTGGACCTTTAAAGCCAGCAACAAACGACAATTGTGTCGAGTGTATTGAGACAACAAGAAAAAGAAAAATTGTAAACAAAACTTTATTCAGAAAGGAGGAAAATTGGCTTTCACTTTTTTGTTTGTGCTGTTTCTTTTTTTTTAATATTTCTTTGCTGTTTCATGGCTATTAAAACGACATAAATTTCTCTGGAATATTAAATTTTAAAATAAATATTGAATCATTTTTGTTGTGTATATATATGCAAGAACTCAGCCGTTTTAATTTCGAGTTTTCTTAATCTGAAAAACTATTTCATTCGTCTCTTTTGTATGTTTATTTAGGTTTCAGTTTTACACGATTTTAATTTCATTTTTCATCTCTTTAGGCTTTGAAGAGTTTTCCGCATTTCATTTCATTTTAGATTAGCAATGTAAGACGAGTTTTTCATGTTAATGCATTTAAAAATGTAATTTCTTTGCTAATTTTATATTTTTTTATTTTTTTTCGCGACCTGAAAATTGCATTTTGTAATTTCATCTGAATTTATAAATATTTAGCTTCTAGCTGGAAAGATAAACGAGCGTCTGCAGGGCATAATTGTAATGTGAGATTAAAGAGCTTCTCCCCTCCCTATCCTTTATTTTTCTTCTTTTTCTTATGATAAGAACGATTACTTCTCCTTTTTTCTCTTGCAACCTTCTTCACTATAATCTTAACGACATAATCTAAAATGTGTGCAGATAATAATCGTAGAGACATAATGTCATTAATCTTGTTCTTCTCATCATGTCCTTGAGAACAAAAAAGAATATAAAAAGATAAATATTTTACGTGAAACTTAATTTTGATTTACTTGAACAACAAGCAATTTTTTTTCACTCACAAAATTGGCTCAACGAGTTTTCTTTCGTTTCCAAGAAGCTATAAATTGGATATTAATCAATCGATTCTCTCCCTTCGCTCATATCGCATAAAGTTTTATCGATCGAAACGAAAAAAAAGAAAACAAAATTGCATCATACTGTGTTTATACTGATTGAGAGTCTTTAAGTATAAATCACATCGTCTGTCTATGGATTTTTTAAGAAAAAAAAAGCAATAAAAAAAAGAATGATGCACAAAGGGTTTGCGATAATAAATTGAATTACTGAGGATCACGAGACAGAAAAGGAAAAAGAGTTCATTATGAAGGACATTTCATTGCCATGTTATAATTGTAGAAATTACAACACCTTAATTCAAAACACGATTAACCCAAATTGTTTCCAACTTTGTTCTTTCTCTCTCTACTTTTAATTATTAATGCATAAGCAAGAAGCAATTTATAAAGAAATCTTTTTGATTCTTTGAAGTCTCGCCGACTGTGATAAGTTTCTTTTCCCCAAACTGAAGCATGAGATTTCATAGTTTTACTCGTGCATTGTATGTGGTCTCTGTAGTCAATGTTAAACATCTTTTTATTCTTATTTTCGTCTTCCCTTACATTTCCATGTCTCGTTCTTCTTTCTTCTTATTGATTTCTTTGACTTGCTTCATGTGTGCGATGATTAAATTCAATAAATTTTCACCCTTGAACAAACTTCCTCATGTATCTCATCCCCTTCATGTAACACACCAAAATAAATAAATGAAGAAAAATAAATTATCTTAATTGCACAAAAATGAAATTGGAAGATCTTCCCCACAGTTGATATCATCCACAAATACTTATGCATGTTTGTAGTCTGGTTCACTACACTTTTACTAATTAATTAATTATCGGTTTTCTGTTATCTTCTACACTCGACTAAGTTTAAGAATCGTGATTATAGTTTTTCGTTTTCCACTAGTTTATCGATTTTCATTTGATATTATTTAAATGTTTCCACATTGCTTGTACGTTGGTGCTTAGATTAATATTCTGGAATGCGATAAAAATAAAATAAATAATTTGAGCACACCTTACTACAATCCCACATTACATTTAAAAAGTAAATGAAAGATAACAGTTTCGTATTAATTTTGATATATGTACTGGATTTATTTCTGTCGCAATGATTAAATCCTTTAACAAATAACGATAATAAATCCGCTTTAAGTCTAGTACAAACAAGTTTAGAAATTCGAACGAAATTTCAAGTGAAAATTGAATTTATTATGTTGTTATAAACGCGATATTGGTGATAAGATAACAGCGATGATGAATCTTGTTATCATTGAGCTAACAATTTACGAGTCTTGTCACCCATACATATTTTAAAAATGTTGATTTGATTATTTACATGAGTGACGCAATAATAACTTTGAAACTTCACAAAAAAAAAATCATTTAAAAAGGCTTCGAGAGAATGCAGAGAAAAGGAAAATTAATTTGAAATAAAACTCAAACATCTACGATGAAGGAAAGAAAGGCTTCGAAGGAATGGAAACAATTATTTTACTTTTCTCATATTTGAATTTGCTGTTCAAATTCATACATTCGTTCATTTGTAAAGCATGAAAGTAAAGAAGAAAATTGAAAGTAATTTCACAGTTGAAAAAATCGTTTCATTGTTTCTTTTTGGTACTTTTTCTCTTTCATTAATGCACACACAGGATCAAAATGGAAAATGTTTCTCGATGTCTGCTCCACTCATTATTCTTATGTATTAAGAACACTAAGAGAAGTCTGGCAACATCGCAAACTAAATAATTTTTCATAATTCTTTCACCATCATAAACATTTAAAAACTTTTTTATGTTTGATGTTTGAGAACAATTTCCATACAAATTCACTCTATTAAAACTGTTGAGTTTATTATCAATCAAAACGATAAAGCATGTTATTTGAAATTATTAATATGTATCGTTATATCTAAATGAAATCAATTTAAAGTACATTTATAACGTTGAACTATTCATGTTATCAGTAGCACGAGTCATCTTTCATGGAAACATAAAAAAAAGTGAGGGAAACCTTAAAAACTCTTTAAGCATAATTGAATCGTGAACATAATTCCATAATTAATACTTGTTAAGTACCACTTTTCTACAAGCACCGCTTAAGCAAGCAAACGAAGGAAGTAAAAGAGTGTACTAAGGAATCATAATAACGCCTCAATTAAGCTAATATTGATGAGCATTGCTGAATGATTTAATTGGTGGAAGAATGGCAGTAGAAAAGGAATAAAAAAAAAGCTTTGCAAAAAACAAAACGAGGGAGAAGAAAGAAAAAAAAAGTTACTCGACATAATTAAGTGCTTTTTAAGTGTATAATTTTCCATAATGTTGTTTTTGTTTTCCCCAGCTTTAGCTAGTTCAACAGAAATTGCAGAAAAAAAAAGTAAATGAACATGATAAATGGATAATTAGTTTAGGTCAACGTTTCTTTTTTGCTTAAAGAAAGATCTTTGATGACTTTGATAAAACAAGAAGCAGTGTCAACGTTAACAAGATTGAATGAAGTTTAATTATTACTTTTAGTGCTTGTTAAAACTAAAATAACTATTAAAGTTGTCGACTTTATTCATTATATTTAATGCATGTCCACTAGACTTCATTGAAAACATTGTTGAATAATATTTTTGTCGTTTCTGTTTAGTGTCAGGTGTCTCGTGCCTTTTGTCTCAAAAATCAACATCAACAAGTTCTTTTCTTTACTTCAACGACTTTTCTTTCACCTTTATGGAGAAAATTATTCAACCGGAAACTTCATTAAGAAAGAGTGAGAGAGATGAAACTTTTCCTTTGTGTCCATCAAAGTGAGACAATATTTACACGACATTTGTGTCTTCTTCTTTTAAGTCTTGTGTTTGACAACATCTTAAGATGTGATTTATGAAAGTTTGCTTCGTTAAGCTTCGATCTGAGATTCAACGTTCTTTGTCATGTTTTATCTTAATTGAGAATGAAGTCAAATGACCCGAGATTGATTTTGTATTTATACAATTTCATGTTGTGTGGCTGGCTTATGTTGACTTGACGTAATCGAAAGCATTGGTCTGTAAATGAATCTTCAATGAAAGTGTCAATAATTGATGTGTCTCTCGTATCAAATATTCAGTCGTGTCGTGTGTTTAAATTCTCCGTCCGTCTACCAGATGCAATTATTTTTAAATTAAATCTCACGCTAACGACACATATATCTTCATAAATCTTAGAAGGAAACATTAATTTCAACTAAACAATTATAAAGTTAGAAATGACAACATAAAAGTCATTCAAATGAAATTTGAGATAAAATAAAATTAACTTCCTTCAATGAATACATAATTTTTCTTCTTTTTATTCTCAAGTCTCTGAGTCTGTCTCTCTCCATCATCAATTAATTAAAATGATCGAAAGCCATTAAGATGATTGAGTAGACGGTCAAATTTTTATCGAAAGAACGTAAAAAAGAAGAAAAAGAAAAGTCATTTGTCTTGGAAACTTGAAGCATCGGCGATGACAAATATTTCCATCAAAGCTTTATTTTCAAGCTGAATGTCCAAAGTGGACAATAAATGTTAATTAATAGGACGAGATGAAAATATTGATGGTTTTATTTTAATTTGGTGGCATCAACTAGATGCTTTATTGAATTACATGGAATCTTTAACGATCCACTTAATCGGTAAAGCGCTTAGTCGAATGATGAACATTCATTAAGACAATGCTCGTCATCACATCATTCGTTTCATTCGGAAGCTATAACCTGGCGGGCTTCTGTATTCTATTATTGAATGGAATCGTTAGATTGCTTCATCTGATAAAAATAACCACCAGTTGTTGTAGGTTGCTAGTTTTAAATGAGAAGAAAAAAAGAAAATATGAAACAAAAAACACGCTGCTGGCATTATCTAATTTGTCTCGAATTAAACTCCACTCAGACTGTCAAGGGAAAGTTTTATTGTTCTTGAGAAAATTGTTGCGCTTATCTTTTGAGTGGAATAGGAAAAGAAGGATCAACAGAAAGGAACATCGAGACGTACAGACTCATAAAATAACATGCTTTATTGTTGAGTCTTAAAAAGTGCACCATATGTTTCTTGCCTGCCTTGCTTTGCCATGCCATGGCACTCTCTCGATTTGCCTTCTTCTCTCGTGACTACTTCTCACCCCGAAAGGAAAATAAAATCTCATTCGTAGCCTAAAACAGGAAAAAAAAGTATTCTCGAGAATTTTTATTGTTTTATGTTTCTCATCTCTTCTTCTTTGCCTTCATCTTTCTCGTCGTTTTATTTCTAAGCCACGTTGAACAACAAAACATAAATATGTGTACAAATATCTACTGAGAAGTGAGAAAGGATGAAAAATAAAACGAAGCAAACGTGTGTGAATCTTCAAGTCGTTTTTATATGCTTTTTTTGGAGGGATTGTACGTATCAACAAGTAGCTCATTTCAAGCTTCTTTTCTTCACGCTTTCATAAATATTCGAAAGAAAATTTTATTTCTTTGAGTGATTCATTTATCAAAGTTTTTTATAAATCAAATGAGTTTTAGTTGAAAGCTAACTGCTTCTGTTGATTATAACTTTATCTTAATGATCAAACCAAACTTAGCGAAATGTAAGAAAAAAAACCTTGCAACTACTTAATTTGATTTCATTGAATTTTATCTTAGTACATGCTTCTACTTCGCCAAAGAATGTTAATTAAACAAAAAATGAAACGAAGGAAAAAAAATTGAAATGTTAACAAAAATGATTAATTTTTACAGCTGCTCCACAAAACTGGTTTTCGGGTTTAAAATTAAAACTTCAAGAACATGAAAAAAAAAACTTTTTCATTATCAAGTTTTTTTTTCTTTTTCGTTTGTTTTCGTTGGTGGAGCTTTTTTCTCAATCGAAGAAGTGAAATGAATTCTCACAGTAAATTTTTCTTTTTAAAGTTCATTCCTTTCATTCGATGATTCTTTAAGCGCACAGCAACAGACGAATTCGTTTTCTATTCTTTCCTAAGTGAAGAATGACTCGCGAGGGAAGAAAATAGAAATATCGAGTAAGAGAAAGAGATGGAAAGTAAGAAAAAGAAGAAAAAAGAGGGAGTAAGAGGCAAAGTTCAATCACCCGCATATTTTTAATGATTCTCGAATTCTTCTTTTGTGTGTTCATTTTCTATGTTTTTTGTCTGCTTGCTCGGTTTCAAATAATTTTATTTTTCTTCATCTTTTTCTCTTTATTATTATTTTTTTCATTTTTCTAGATCTTTTAAAAATGCATTTTGTGTTCAATTCTTCTTATTTGTGATCGTTTGAACAAAAATTTTTAATTGAAGATTTCTTCTTTTTTTCTCTTAATTGACGAAAATTACTTTCTGTGGTGGATTAATGAAACAAAGTTGGTTAGATGCTTCAGACTATGTCATTAAAATTGAGTTGAACATGAAGGCACAATATCTCTCATCTTATGCTAGATTTACGATCAAAGCTAGAATAAAAATCTAATTGATAGCATTGTTTCAGTGTTTCAACTTTCTGACTCAAACCGCAATGTTCTCATCTTTAAAAATGAAAAATTTTCAAACAAATTGTCGTCTACGATTAAGTTTTAATTTAACCATAAATTGTCGTTTGAACAAAAGAGCGCACGAGTGAAAATAAAATCGAGTTTTGTGATTCAATTTTATTTTCATGAAAACTCATATGTTATGAATCGTGAAGGAATTTTCATTTAACTTAAACAATAACACGCATGTTTGCACTTCGAATCCTGAAAAGGGACAAAAATATTCCTTTTATTCACTCTTTTTGATTTATTGAAATTTGAAATTCTTTTTTCTTCTATCATTTCAGCGACCTGACGAAAATTTGGATGTTTCTTTATCAGTGCCACAATATAACGGTCATCCACCTCCAAGTCACCTACGCTATCACAATTTGAATGATCAGGTAAGAAAGAAATCAAACTTGCGTGGAAGTCATAAAGTTTATTTCTTTTAAAAAGTAATTAAAGTCAAATCAAGCAAAGATTAATGCTTGAATGCTATAAGTCTTTAACAAGAAACATTATATTGGCATTTCTTTTCATTCCTCGAAATCTAATTATCATTAATTGCTATTTCGGAAAACATATTTAAGTATAAGAAACGTTTAAGTCAGCATGATATGCCGAAAAGTTTCTTTTTCTTTGATTGTAGTTTAATTAACGTTTTATATAAGTTCATATGAATGTATGTAGCAAATGAAACTGTTTAATTAATTGTGACTTAAGAAATGAAAAGCTGATCAACTTTATCATGCCTAATCTCATTTGCAGACGTTTCATACGCCATCATTCGGTGACGAAGAATTTGATATTCCCGTGATGCATCATCAGCCACCCCCGCCGCAACATCATCAGTTAGATCAATATCACCAGTTGCATAGTCATCAAATGAGCCTCATGAATGAGCAACAAGCTGCTTACGGCCAACATCAATGGCATCATCAGCCACCAACACCTGAATCTCATATGATGGCGAATCAAACATATCAATTACATTCACCGAATCATTCCAATTATCATCACATGTCTAGTCCGAATCAACAAATGCTTTTGATGCAACCGCCCAGTTCTCATCAACCACCACCTCAGAACCATCAGCAACAACAGCAGCAACAACAGCAGCAACAACAGCAGCAGCAACAGCAGTCGCATCAACAACCACAAATATCACCACAACTGAATGCGGGCGGAAATAATTACATCGGACAATCGCCACCTCAAACAGTGCGAAGTAATGAAAATGGATCAACAAGTGATGACAGCGATGATAATGCACTGAATGATCCGAATGTGAGTACTTTTCATCTTTTTTCATAATTCAACGATGCTTGGATTGGTTTAAGAATTGTTTGAAAATTTCCGAAATTAGATTATCAACTTGTTAAATTATAATAAAAGAAAAGAAGAAAAAAAACTTTTCTAAATCTTCATCGCTTCAATAAATTTGAAGCTTGTGAAGCTTGTTTTGACGACATTTTCAAATTCAAGCTTTTGTTACGAAAAGAAAATAAAAAGCAGAAACGAAAAGCTTTTGAAAAATAAATAAAAGAGTCCTAGAATAACACACAATCACTTTCATCCCTCGATAAACACAGCACGCGATGCCAAAACCAGCGAAATTCTATTTGTTAAGCTGTTACAACAGCACTTGGTGTTTGCATAAGTTCCAGGCCAGGACTTGACAATGACTAGGCATGAAACAAAATCTCAAAGATAAATATTTGAAATACTCTGGAAAATATTTCAATTTCATGGGCTAATCCATCAAGCAAATTGATTTTTTTTCGCAATCTACCATGACAGTGTTTTTCGCTGATCGAAATCGGTGTAAGATTGAACGAAAGATCGTGGGGCATGAGATAGTCAAAGCTCGCTGGTCATAACGAGGCATTTCTAATTTTATAAATTGAATTTCATTAAACTATTTTGAAATCATTTAAAGGAATTGAAATCAATCAAATTTATCGAAATGCAATAAAATGAAAATTAATGAAATTGATTTGAAATGTCGACAGAGAGTGAAACAAAAGTTGATTGGTTGAAATGAGCCGATGAAAAATTGTCTATGATTTTGGTAATGAGCTGCGAAATATTTGAGACAAATGTCAAGACAAACAAAGATTTCATTAACTAAGTAAAACTTTGAGTCGACATTTGTTTGAGTATGAATAAAGATTGGAAGTAAAAATGACCGAAAAAAATCAATTTTCAAGCTTACAAGATGAAAGTTATGTAGATTTGAAATGTTTTAGTCATGATTACACAAGCAAAGAAAATTCATAATTATTTTTATAACATTTCTCCAACATATGTCAACCATTTCTGCTTGTTAAACAATTTTTCAAGATTGATGGAATTTTTCTGTCATGTCGAAAGACGATTTGAAAGTCATGTTAATTTCATTTCTCTCTATCTCAAAATGTATGTTCATAAATAGAAAGAAACATTAATTTATTTAACGAAAAGTTGTTTAATATGTAAAATGCATTAGAGAGAACATAACATGGCAGCACTTATTACTAGTTACACGAAATGAGATTGAACAATTAATTTTGATTACTTATTACTTAGTTTCCATATCTTATTCAATTAATTTTACTACAGTAAAGTGCATTAAATGAAACTTTTAACACTTTACAATTGTAAGTTGCAAGTTGCAACAATCCATATCAAGTCAAACCTAGAAAGCTGTCAAAAGGTTTAAATGCAAAATGACAATAACTTGTCTCAACTTCGTCCGTTTTCAACTCACAAAAGCTTTATTCTTACTTTACATTATTAAGGGCAGTAATTGACAGCGAATAAAATGAGACAGGAAAAAGACAATTGCCTTGTCCCCTCCCCATTCATCTGTAGCATGTAATTGAATCGAAGGTTTATGGATTTCCATTTTGCATTAATTTATGCTTAAAACAACAACTGAGAGAGAAGAATGTGATAAAAGTTGAGAACAAAGAGCGATCAAAAAGTTTTTCACGTCAATGTAGAAAAAAGGAAGAAAGTATGTCAAGGCGATGAAAAAGTTAATAACGGCCGCTTCAACATAATTAATCCTCGAAGCCGTCCCAAAATAATAATTGTAAATGAAGAATACAAAATAAATTAATTGACAAATCGTGCAGATTTAATTAAATGCGATTTGTTTAATAAAGCTTCAATTGAGTCGAATAAGACGTGGAGGGGGACAGAAAAAAATTGCAACTGCAAAATGTTATGCAATTGATTTATGATTCCGCTGTTTTTCAATTCCAAGCACAAGCTGTAGTATTGCATAAAATTGTTATAATGCAATACTGCAGCAACCAACATAGATTGTAAAAAAAAAAATAAAACGAATTAAAGAAAACCTTGAGACTCATGACAATGAAGTCTTATGGGTTTGACTTGCTCGACCTTTATTTCGTTTTCTCTGTTTTTCATTGCTGTTATTATTGTTGGTTTTCCCTTTCCATTTTCGCGACTTTGAGACCCATATCTTGAACTTAATTGGATTAGTTGAGAGTCTTCTCTTTTTAGGGCGTAGATCGATTCGTCTTTTATTGAATTGAAGTTAAAGTTATGAAACGAAAACCAAAATATGGCCTTCAATTCAACTCGGAATTGCTATTTGTTAATCAAATTATTACCTAGCGATATTATCAATCAATTTAATTAAGAAAACTGCCATTCTCTACATAACTAAGTCATCACAAATTAAGAATAACAATGAAATTAATGTCGTTATTTATTTCATTGCATTATTTGATTTGATTCAATTAACAATCATAAAAGCATGAAAAGTTTTTTAAAAAAATTCTTCGGGAAGAAAACTGAAATTCGTTGATTTTTTATGCTGTAAACGTGCAGTGAAATGAAAATTTATTACTTTTATTATGATTTATGACAACTTTTTGCCATTTTAAATTGCTTTTTTCCATCTCTCTCTCCCTCAATGCTGTAAATAATACGAAATAATTTAAAATTTAGCTTTATGCTGAGACTTGCAAATGTTAAAGTTGATGATAAGATTTGTGAAACTTTTTATTAATTTTCTTTTTCTTTTAAGCAATTCGAGTAAATTGATTTTTTTTTGTTTTATTTTCAGGCCAATAACACTTTTAAGCGACCATCGCCCGATCCTTATATCGGAAACGATTCTCCAAATCGTAACAACAGTACAATGAAGCCTAAAGCTCCACCAGCACGCAAGCCAAAAGCCTCGAAGAAGAAGAAGAAAAAGGATCCAAACGAGCCCCAAAAGTAAGATATTTCAGGCCAATCTGACTAATTGCGGTCAATTGTTTCTCAGGATTATCGGGAAAAGTCGATGGGAAGGAAAATTAAATTGGGAAGATTTTCACATCGCTTTGTCATTCTTCGGTCTGAGGATAAGAAGGCAACCGAAGGATATTATTTGGGTCGGGGATGAAACAAAAATAAATTGGGGGATAATTTAAGTCTCCTCAACAGGTCGTCTCAAGGCTTTTTTCCTTGCTTTTCTTCTTCCTTCTGTAGTCAATAATAGACGTTTTCTTTTATTAGGTAAAAGAACGTGAGAAAAGAAAATCTTGTAAACCCAAAAAAAAGGAAATCTTTAAAGCTTTTTGAGGACGACCGAAGAAAAAGGATTATTTTTAAATTCCTTGCCATTTTTATCCTCCACCCTCTCTCGGTTAAACGACCTGAGACTTGTTTCTTTTTAATGCAACAAGACAGAAGGAAAAAAAGAAGGAAATTGCCAAACAAACTAATTGAAAGGGTTCATCTGAAATGTCTCATATCAACTAAAAGGAAAGACGGCAGAACGTAGTGAAATATAATTTTAAAAAGTGATTTCGAGAAGTGTTGGGTTTCATTTTCAATTTTCTTAGATGGTCTTCGAGGAAATTGAACTTCAAAAGGCATCAAAAAAATCAAATCACCATTTCATTGGCTCCAGCTGCTTATGTTTAATTCAAATTCAATTTGAAAAATATAAGACGATGATAAGAAATAACAGTTTTCCATATATTTCCCTCTTCTTCTTCTACTTTTCTTTTTGCTAAGCTCGGCAACAACAGCCTCAACATTTGTTGTAATATGGCTAGCAATTTGTTGGCTCTTTTTTTATATTTTCCCTACATGTTAGCTGATATGAGGAGAAAATCGTTTTCATTTCAATTTCATTGTTGTCCTCATCCTTTCTAAGGAGGAAATTGTTATTTTGTATCCTATTTTGTATGCTTTTAAGTGGTTTTGTTTCAACAGAAGAAAATTTACAACTTGAATTTCAAGGAAACTACAAATGTACGTAAAGAACGGAAATTGCTTTTAATATTTATTTAAAGAAATTATTAAATTTTCTCATCTTTTTTCAAACGTTCCTATCGCGAATTTAAATATCAAAAAGCAAAAAGAAATCTTTAATTAAGTTTCTATCTTTGGAAATGATCTGATGATGCTACAAAAAGAAAGTAAAGTTGAAACTTCTACACCAGATTTCTTATATGATCCTAAAGAGTTGTTCAGCTGAATCTTGTGAAAACAATTATCTTATAATTTGACTCATAGAAAAGTTTTATCTGAGAGCTTCTTTCTCATGCAGCGTGATCTAACTTTTCGCCTTCTCTCATCTACATTATTACGTGCTTCATTGCTGATTTTGTTTCATTTCCTTCTTTTTTTTTTATTTTGTTGCTTTTTTGTTGTTGTTTATCTGGGTTGGTTGGAATAGAAAAGAAAACTTTTATTATCTCTCATATTTCTGTCGCCTCACTGAGGTTATATCGGTTAGAGTCATTGTTTTTTGGGGGTTGAATTGTTTAGATGAGGGAATCGTTGTTGGGTGTTTTGTAAATTTATGAAACGTTAATTTGCTCGTTCAGAGACATTAATGGAATACAAATTGGAAAATAATTTTGCCAATTACAATTGTTGTGTTTCTTCATCTTCTCTTTTTCCTTCCTAACGTGTCGTCTTCTTCTTCTTCTCCCTCTTCTGATAATGATGATGAATAAAACTGGCAAATTGTTTTGGAAGTTAATGAAATTTCTTCTTATTGTTTTTTTTCTTTTCTTTTTTTCTTCACAGGCCCGTCTCAGCTTATGCTCTGTTCTTCCGAGACACTCAGGCATCGATTAAGGGACAAAATCCGAATGCCTCATTCGGCGAAGTTTCAAAGATTGTCGCATCAATGTGGGACGTGTTGGCGCCCGACCATAAGAACGTAAGTATGGGGACATCGTGCTCCATCATTCAGATGACATTTTCTGATGAAAATAGTTTTATTTTTCTTTCACCCTAAAGAAATGAAATTACATTTTCAACATTCTTTTAATGACATCAATTCAAATGATGAAGAAAATTTTCCATGCACGAAATTTCTCCAAACAAAAATCTCATTCTCTTATCAGTATTGAATAGAAAGTTTTATTTTATTTTATTTTAACATGGAAATTCAGAGTGCAATCAATTTTCTGACTTGTGCACACGACATCAATTTTTTGTTGCCGTGTGCTGCTTTCAAATCACGTAAAACTTTTATGTGTGCATTTCAACGACGACGTCTAGTGAGTTTTAAAGTCGATTGGAGATCTGAATAAAGGAAGAAGGAAGAAATTGCTATTTGACGTTGCAAATTAAATTTTCATGTCACAATTCAATTTCCCCAGACGGCTTGCTAAAGGAAATGAAAGTTTTCTTTTTGTTTTTTTTGGAAGCACCGGATTAATATTAAATTGGATTTCAGCTGAAGTAATTGACTTGAAGTAATTCTTTTTCTTTTTTTTGGAGCTTTCAAGTGCTTCACTTATGCATAATTCTTCATATAGGTATTGTTAATTCCAAAATATTTTTATCTAATGAAAAATTTGAATTTCTAAACCAATGAAAATAATTTGAAAGTCTCCAGCAGGTGCTGTAAATCTCTTGCTACAATTAATTATGATGTTTAAACAGAAGATTAAATATTTCAAAAATATAAAAAAAGAAAAACTCTTGAAAACAAATATAAAACTGGACCAATTTTTCCAGCGATAAACGTGTTGTTTATTAATTTTGTTTTCCAAAACAAACATCAACGACTTTGTGTTCAAGATTTTTTTTCCATCACTTTTGCTCTGTTCGTGCACCTGCTGGTGTTTAATCAACTTTTTTCCCTTCGCCTCCATTTGACTTTATTCAACTCACTGACGTGTTAAATTTTAATAATTTTAATAATTTTTTGTTTTTCTTTTATTTTTGCACACGCTCCAGTGACTAATTCTTCATATTTTACTTTTTGTTTATTGATTTTTATTAAATATTTTGCTTGCTTCTTTTACAGGTTTACAAGAAACGAACAGAGGTCGCCAAAAAAGAGTATTTAAAAGCGCTGGCAGCTTATCGTGCGAGCTTAGTGTCACAAGTAAGTGTTGAAGATAAATTTTTCCTTTAATAGATTTTTCCCGGGGAACTTTTCTTTCGTGGAGCGGGATTTTCTTTTAGAAGAAGAAGAAGAAAAAAATGATCAATGATAATTTTTCGTGAATCGTTAGCGCGAAAAATTAACAAAAAACTTTGACGTCATGACATAGGAAGACTGGAGGGCCACGTGGGCCAATGAGACTCGTCCTAATTTGACATTCTTGCCAGTCAGCGGAAATTTATTCATTCGCAAAGCTTCTCATTCACACAAACAAAGCAATCCCCGCAAGGTCCTCGCTAAAAACGGAGCACAAATTTTCTATTTTCTAAAATTTCCATTATTTTGGATTTTCTTCTGGATTCGGCGCATTTCTAATATTGTTGAAGAACGGGGAACGAAATGGGGGTTTTCTTCTTTTCCTTGATTTTTTTTTTCGAAAAACTAACAAAGAAAAATCGTTGAGGGAAAATTTTCATTTCAGATAACAGACATTTTTGTTGCTGAGCTTTTTCTTTAAAAAAGCAATTAAATTTTCTCTAGGTGAATAATTGAGAAGCAAGTAGATTCGTGAAAATGATTTGAGAGTTTAATTAAACTTTTCAGCTGTTACTTGTCGGATTTAGAAAATTTATATTATAGAAATTTACTGAAAAAGTTTATTGCTGTAACAGCACTACAACTACTTGACTCGAATAAAATATCCAACTTCGCTTCGTCGAGAGCTTTTATATAATTTTTTGAAATTGCAATCAAAAGTCAGATAAATACAAATTTAATTTATCTAAAAATTTTTCTTAACATTTCTAGTAAAAGCTTTAAAACTTTATTATTATTCATTATATACTTGATCCAGCTCGGTATTTGAATCTTTTTGACATCAATTTTCTGGCTCAATTAATTGCAAATATCAAATTTCACCATAATAGAAAATTCATATTTCCGTTCGAGGCGCACCCACGCTAGATTAGGTTTTTATCATTAACAACGTGAATGACTAAACGACAAGATATAAAAATTGAAAATCACGTCGAAATATTGATCTACTAAAATAAGTCGTTATTTAATTAGGACAAGCGATTAATAACAATTTTCTTTGTGGTATTAATTTCAACTTTGGGTGTGTTGTGTCGGCGTTTATTTAATCCAATCTGCTGCTTGCAAAGTCATTGATTCGTTTCTGCGTAATTTAATATAAATTTCATTTTTGTTTTCTTCAACTACCTTAGGGCACTGAGTCTGAGTCCCAATCGCCACCACATCAACAAAAGGTTGCTACACCAGCATCACAAAATCAATCGCATAAGATTCAAACCCAGCCTCAACCACCGCAGCACTTGCAGCAGCAAACTATGCCACCAGGCGCTCGTATGAGTCCTCATCATCAGATGCCACCGAGCTATGTACAATCGATGCCACCGCATAATTACCAACCCCCGCCCGGTCCCTACACGCCGCCATCACCTTATGGATCACCTCAACAGGTAAGAAAGATTAAGTTGTCATCATAAATCGCACATGTAGCAATAATAATTTTTATATTATAAAATTTCTTTTCAACACAATAAAGCCATTAATTTATCCGATGAATCCAAACATGATGCAACCACCACCGCATAATGGAATGATGAACATGCAACAACAACCTGGCCCACAATACATTAATCAACAGGTGAGAAAATTATTATATTTTAAATAAAACACTTTTTTATGTTGCTGAGTGATTTTCACATAAAGCGACGGTAAAAAGAGAGAAAGAAAAAATGAAAAACACGGAAAGTGCGGAAAATTGCTTACAGCTCAACAACATGATGTTGATTTCGAGTGAAACATTTCCATTGTGTCCCAGTTGGAATTTTACTTTTTGCAGAATGAAAAGCTTTATATTTAACACTTTATGCCAACTCTCCTGGCGGGTGTGAAGCATTCAATTTATGTATTTTTTACTGTTTTTCCACGCTTCATTGTGTAATTTAATTTGTGGTGAAATTAGTCGCTTTTCAATGGCGTTAATTGAAAAATAAGTGTTTTCATTTTATGACATAAATAAACACATGTTGCATGAGTTAAATACGTAGAATGCTTTATTTAATCTTTTGCTTCCTTTCTTCTGTTGATAGGGATACATCGATCAGCAACAACAGCAGCAGCAAAATTCACAGCAGCAATCTGAGATGCTTGTCTTCTCTTAGAGATTCTCTTCAAATCTATTTTTACCTTATTCCATGTCGGATGATTTTATAATAAAATGAAGATGGAAAGACGAAATGAAAATATGAGAAAATCCCTTTTAATGTGCTGTAAGTCATCTCCTTTATGAGAAATATTTTCCTTTGTCATAATAATATAATTTTCCTTTCCATCACAGGTTTGTCAGCATCAGATATAAGCAACATACTCTCAATATTGTCCATAAGCAAGAGGCTGTGTTAGAGAAAAATGTGTAAAAAATAAATGAATAAATAATTGAAAATTGAAATTGTAATAAAATTAAAGCAAAAACAATTAATAAGCAAATCATAAGGAATTAATTAAAATAAATAAAATGTTTTTTCTTTCACTATAAATAATTGAATTGTTTTATTTTGTTTATTTCTTAGTTCAAGTTTTCTTTTTCAGATATTTTAAGATAATTTAATTCAGAGGTGATTTAGATGTTTCAAAGTTTTCAGATGATTTCAGTTTAATTTAGTCAGCGGAATAAAGAACCTCAAATTCTTCATATTTAATAAGATCTTTTCTTTAACATTAAATTAAATCAGCGAAATTCCTTGAACGATGAAAAATAGCAACGAAAATGTTCAGAATCAAAGACGAGAATATTTTCTCATAGGAAAAGTCAAAATCTGCGAAAAATCATCATAATTTTAGATTAGAAAGTATCTGTTAATTTGAGATGCGCAAGGAAATTCATAAATATCAAAGTGAATAATTTCAGGAAATTATTAATTACAATAAAGTTATCTAAATAAAATAAAATTTTGTGAATCGTTGCAAAAAAAGTTAAAATATAGTAAATGATAATTAATAATTTGGTAAACATAAAATTATCTTTTTGTGAGTGTAAGAACATGAAACCTTCAAAGCTATTTGCATTTCTTCAAAGCAACTCATAATTCGCTTCTTCCTCGTTCATTTCTCATTTATTAACATCCCTCAAGATAATTGAATAATAAAAAACCAAAGGAATATCCCTGTAACATTCATTTGAAAATGTTCATTTCGAATTCCCTTTAGGTATTGTAAAACTAACATGTTCATTTTAAATTGAATAAAATTATTATAGAATTTCTTAACCTAATCGTCAAATGACTTCATTTCAACGTAATTTTTAAATTCCTACTTTTCAATGCTTCTGTTCAACAATAAACAGCTCTAAAGTCTAGCAAGATAAGAAACATTTTCGTCTGCGCGTGACGAATTTGCAATGCACTGAACTGTTGTATGGTTTAATTGTTTACATTTTTGCAAATTGATTTTGCTGCTTTTTGTTTCTTTAACAAATTTTGCAATCTATTGCATTGAACATCAATTAAGTTAATTTCTGAATATTAAATTATCCAACGAGTGTTCATCTCAACCAAGTTGTATATAAATTTTTAGTTTTAAGTGAATATTTCTGGAGAAAGTTATTAAAGAAGGTGAGTGATTTGCTTCTTCATTATTTTCAACAAGAAACGTGAGCTTAATATTCATGCGAATAGTTTTAAGATACAATATTTGTAAAAGCTTATTGTATAATTCTCAGTATTTTCATTCCTAATATAAATTTTATTTTCTACGAAAAATGTTTTCAAGCAGAAAGTTTCGTATAACAAAGTAAGTTAAAAATCAAATAAAAGATTAATCGATAGCCTCGTTTGCTTATCGTGTGCATTAACATTCATATGAATTATCTTTATCAAAATTTCCGGCCCATGGTATAAACGAGAATGAACTAAATTGTAAGCAGAAATAAAAACATTAAATTGTTCATAGTTCGTTAGGCAACGGTTCGTGATTAAAAATATAAACAGGGGAGTATTTGAAGTCGACGTCATGCGTAAGGATATTCACTCTCAACCTTTAAGGTTTATGTTAAGATATCACAAGGCTTGGATTTATTATCGGTTGAAGGATTCGAGGAAATCAAAAATATTTTGTTTAATCTGTGTTTATTCTTGCATCAATCCTTAACATAAATATTTCCAAATCATAGCTGAATTTCAATTTCATTTATGTTCTATATAAGACGTTATCATTCTTTCTCTAAATCCCTAAATATATACTTCAATAGAGATTAATTTGAACGAATGAGGAATAAAACTCAAATTTCGATATAAAACTAATGAAAGTGATAACAAGCTTAAATAAATAAAGGTGGTTTGCTGATTGTATCACCATTAGAGCAGTTTATTATTGATATAAATAAGAGTGTGAGAGTGAGACTTAATGAGATGGTAACGAACGATAAAAAAAAAGACTTCCATTTATAGAACCATACTGTGGCTAAGCGAGTTAGTCTGTAAATAAGTTATTTTAATACGTTTCAAATGATATAACTACCATGTAAATCTTGTAGTGAGTTTATTGTTGAAAATCTATTAGACAAAAATTATGACAATGCAGTTTTTTCTTCTTACTTGCATCGCATTGATATTAATTTTAGTTTATCATCATTTGCCGGTATGAGTAATTACTTCCGTCTTTTTCCTGTGCGTCTTTTGCTTCCAAAAAATAGAAATAAAAAGAGAGAACTTGATTTATGACAATCAAGTTGATTATATGCAAATTTCAGTTCTCTGACTGTTTTCGAGCTCGTTAAAAAGTTTTTTTTGTTGCTTGCTCTGTGAGTTATTGAGCAAATATTTAAATGGAAGTGGGTTGATTGCCAGAATGGGATGGAATAAGGGGTCGGTAGTGTGGGTAAAATTTGCAGAGGAAGTTAAAAGATAATGGAATTTCCTTCTGGGAAAAGCCCTGAAGAATCACTAGCGAGTTTAAAAAGCTTTAAGATTCACTGCTCTTCCTCCACTGATTTCAATCCTATCTAAATAATTGAACATTAACCCCAATTTATACAATTTTTTCCTTCTTTTTCTTTCCCTCTCGACAATTCAATCAACTCTGCCTCCATCTCGTTCTATGTTTTGCGATCGATAACAAGCAAAGAAAAACATAAGCGAACTGTGAGTTAAAAACATCAAATAAAATCAAATAAACGAAATTAGAAAATTCCATAGTTGATTTGTTTTTGCTTTTCTGATGGCAAAAAGTTCTTGCCATTTTCATTTAAATGGAAAAGCCCTTAAAAGCTCGAATTCTTGAATTTATGAAGTTAATAAGCAAACTAAGCTTTTTTAAACTCTTTAAATTTTAATTGAGGATGGTTTTAGCTGATAAAAAGTTTGCAAACTCTATTGAAAGCTTCTTTCAAATCTGAAATAAAATAAATCATTCTCCAGTTTTCAGTGTTCATTCCAAATAAATGATATTCCATCAAAGACTTAGAGGTGCTTAACAAAAGTACTTTTAACAATGCTAAGTCGCTTTTCAAGCAAAAAATAGAAGTGAAACTTTCATCGGCGAAAGAAAAACCTCTTTCACTGTTTCGAAATTCTTTATTTTCAAACAGAGAGAAGCAAAACCAAAAGAGGAAAAAATAAAGAAAAGAAAATCTTTTATTCGAGTCTTTATTTTTAATTTAAACTTTTTCTATTAATTCAAGCAAAAGTTTTAAAATCAAATTAAAAGAAATGAGAAAACTTTCTTTCAGAGTTCTTGCGAGAAAAAGAGAAAACAAAGTTTTCTTGAAGGGTTTTCATTCCTCTTCGAGAAAATATCATCGAGGCTGAATATTTGGAAAATCCTAGGGGAGTGAAGGTATTTTGGAATCAATCTTGTCAAAGAAATCGCTTTCCTTTTGCTGGTGGGAGACGTTCGAAAGGTTCGATGCAATAATTTTTTTTTTGGGCTTTCCCCAAGGTTGGGATGAAGACGATCCGTTATTCAACCAACTTTTTCTTACGAAACAGCAACAGGTGAAGACGGAAACTCAATTACCATCCTTACAATTTTCTGACCTTTATAAATGACTTCTTCTTTCTTTTTTCCTGCCATCATCACCACCCTTTTTTTTGTGCTGATGAATAACCGCACTTCTCGCAGAAAAATATGCTTGAGAGGAAAATGCCAATTTAATTTTCAAAGGAAATCAACTGTCTTTGATGTTTCTCTTTTATTTCTTTTTCAACTTTCCGCTATCGGTTTGGTTGTTATGATGTTATTATTTCAAGTTAGTCTTTTGCAATGATACATATTTATAAAACGAAATGTTTAAGTTTCCGTGCTGTATTTTATTCATATAGAAGTCTTCGGGAAAACGTGCTTTTAAAGTTAATGGGGAGTTGAGATCAAGTTTTATATTTTTCAATATAAACAGATACTTTGCAGATGTATTTGAAAAAATATTTTTAGTAACATTTTTGTTATTAATTTCTTTGCTAGCTCGAATTAAAATTGAACAATCAAATCAAGCGTATAGAATCTTTCTGAAATGAAATCGGCTTTTGTTGCTTACCTTGAATGAACAAAAGTATTCTGCCAAGCCCAAAAATATATTTTTTAGTTAATTACTGGAATTCATGCGCGTGTACACAGCACAAACATTCTGTTTAAGAGGAGAACGTCTCTGAGTCTGAAGGAGGGAAAATTAATTACAAAAATTAAGTGATTTAATTTAAGATAAATTGGTTCACGGTGCTGTGATAGTGATCCTGGGGATTTGATTTCCCACCCTCATTCCACATGCCATAGCAAAGTCGTGCTGAAAAATTTTCTCCCCCTAAACATTGATTGCGCGCAACATCTTTCCCATCTAGATTCATGTTTTGCCATTACTTTTATGACTCCAATACAAGCACATACAAAAAGGTTGCGGGGAGAAAATTTTGCTGAGTAAAAGCGACAAAATATTTATGGCCAGACATAATAAAATTTCTTCTTTTTGTGACATAATCGGTGGGGCTGCATCACCTCAATCAATACTCGTAAATCATGATTTCCGTTTCGGGAAAAAATAAAAATGTATGTATAAGAATTGTGCAATTGGAGGCAAATGACCTCACATTATCTCTTTCCTCTTCTTCAGTTAGTCATTCCTTTATCACGATTAGGATTCCATCAAAAGATTTTCTTTCATTTCCATAAGCTTCAATAGATTTTTCATTAACAAACACATCGATGCTGCTGAATATTTTAGGAATTTAATTTCTCTTTCTCTCTCTCTTTATCTATCTCTTGCTAACTTACTCGCCACCCTCGCATATTATAAATTAATTTTACAATGCTTAGTTGTATAGGTGAAAATGTTATTTAATAATTTCGATAGAAAATTTCTTGCTTTCCTCACAAGGGAAATTCAATTTTCAAGGAGAAATTTCCCAAGAAATTTCAGTGAAAAACTTTATGATGTTCGCTTTTAAAGTATTCAATTCAAGACTTGTAGTGTTTATGATGAAGTAGAGCGGGAGATGAAAACGGGTGGGCAAATGCCATTTTTCAAAAACCACTACATTATCTGCATAAAAATTTATGGAGTGGAAAAGAGGAGAGAGAACTGTGTGCGGTGTGGGGTAGGTGGAGGGAAAAATTTAATCAAACTTTATGTTTTTGCACTTGTTTGTTGTTGTTTTTCGCTGTCTCATATTTCTGTCAATTTTTTCTTTATTTAGTGGAAAAGTTTTTGCTTTCGGAAAAGAAACTTTAATGAAATTGAGTTTTCGGGGAGTTTTTTTTTGTTGTAAGCATCAAGAAGCTTAAAGAGTTTGATTAACTTTACTTTTTCTCTAATATTTTTCGTTTTCTTGCCTCATTGAAGGATTTAAAAAAATGAAACTAAATATATTTATGCAATGTCATGAAGGTTTGACGTGAATTAATCATATCAAAACGATGGAGCTTCAGCAAATAGTCTCGCTAGCATGCTGATTAGTTTTTTGCTCGTGTAGCATAAATTATGCTGATTTCGAGAAACTAAATTAACGTTCATCTTCATTAAACGATTTTCTCTACCAAGCCACGATAAATCCTTGCAAATTTTCCCTTCTTCTCTTTCAGTTTGGTGGAATATTTGGGGGATGATGGAAAAAGTTTCTTCTATACTTTCTTTCATTCTTCTTTTTCACTAAACATATACGAGAAGACTGTGGAAGAGATTTTAATCATATTCAATCTTTCTTGATTGCTCAAAGTTTTCCTGTTGTTGAATGATGAAAAACTTTTCCTTCTCCCTTCCATTTTCAATCCGCACATAAATGATGACTTTCCGAAAAGAAAGAAAATTTCTCTTCGCTGGGGAAACCAGAACAAAAAAAAAGAAGAAAACGAGTTTTTCCCGTGAATCAGGAAATTCAATCAAGTCTTAACTCCTCCACATTCGTTGAACATACTAGTGACGGATAAGTTTTAAAGGGAGAGACAAAACTTTAACAGTCTTCATTTTGATTAAATTGCGACCAAGTTGATTGAAAGCACTTTCCTGTTTGGTTGTTAAATTTTTGATTTTTGATTAGCATATTATCAATCAAAGTGTTAGTTTAAGCTTCAATGAATTAATTAATAATTTATTTGCGAAGTTTCTTTTCTCTGAACTTCAATATAAGAAACTTTTAATGTTTATACATAATTTCATTCGCTTGAAGATTTTAAAAAAATCAAAAAACTTCATTTCTTAAGTGCTTTTATTAAAGCAGAAGAAGTCTTCAAATGTCATACAATGAAGTAACATTACGAAATTTAAACTAGAATTAACATCTATTAATAAAAGAAAGAAAAAAGTTTATTTAATCAAATCAATCAAAATTTAATTCGAGTTTATAACTTTAACAATCAAATGTTCAAGTTGAATGACAATTAAAAAATTTAAACGTTGAACATTTACTCACAACGAAAAATGTCATAAAGAGAGAACAAATCCCAAACAATTTATTCAATTAAGAATTCTTTTTGTTTGTTTCTAGTGTGATGTTTAATCTTTAATACATTTATGTTTGCTGTTGAATTTTATTTTCAATTATTTTCTTTCCATTTTGTCGTGTTATGATGCAACGTTGCCACTTTTCCTTTTTATTTATTCTTCAATCTTTAGTCTTACATTCCTTCTCCGTGTACCAGGTGGATATTTATGCTGCACATACAACTCATTGAACACATAGCATATACATATTCATACACACACACTCACACATATGGACGATCTATCCGAATGAGAACAAATCTTATTCTTGTTTCAACAGCAAAGCAAAAGGAATTCGTTGAGAGAGTGGAGAGTCACGATCAACGTCGTTTTTTTTATACAGAAAATATGGCCGCAAATTATAAGAGTGTGTTGGTTGTAAAATTTGTGTTGTTTTTATCGTAAAAGAGAAGCAGCGTTACTCTGATAAACTCATTCCAAATGAAAGAAGATTCCTTGAAGTAAAGCATTGCTTCGTGAGTTCGGAAAATTTCGTTTTTCTCCGTCGATGAAAATTTCTCGGTTTTTCCAAAACTGAGTAAAGAGAAGAAAAATAGAATTTTGTTTTTCATTTCTAACTTGAATATATCTAGAATTGTCAATCTCCAGATGTGAACATTTCGAGAAACATTCTTGAAGATGAAGCATGCGATAAAACATCATTTGTCCAACGTTTTATTTCTGAGATGTTTTCTTATTTCTTTTTCTTTTTGGCCGATGTCGTTGCTGCTTCTACAATACACACTCAAAGTTCGAAAGAAGTTATACACAAGTCTTTCTATCAAAAAATATACAAAAAAGCTCTGTTTCGTTGAGTATGGGGAGTAAAACAATCAGTGTCGATGGTTTTCTGCGTTCATGTGGACGTATTCGTCGTGTTCGAAATAAAATTTATATATTTCCCGAATAACAAACAATTCGAGAGCTTCTCGTCGGGTCCAATGATAATCCGGGATTTCACTTAATGCACTTTCATTAATCAAATGAGATTTGACTATAGCCGATAATTTATGCTTAAAGATAAACTCCTAAACTTGATTACAGGTGCTACCTTAATTGTACACAGCACTTTTAGTGCCAAAGAAAATAGAATGCAACGCATGTAATCAGTTACGTGTGTAGTTGTGTGTATACGTGGATTGATTTGAAATTATTAACAACACAACTTTACACCAAAAAAAGAAAAGAAAAATTAATAAAAACGCGTTTATAGTTCAAAGCTTTTTTACTCTCATGAAACAAACATTTCTTTCTGTGAAGAATAATTAAATACGAACTATAAAGTTAATGAAGAGGAATGGAATGTTGATGGGAAAATTTGTGGTCATCATTAATTAGTGATCAATTAATCTATTTTTTCGTCTTAATGTAATCGATGTGGGATTAAAAATTTGAACGATAAGAGAACGTCAACTAACCTAAGTTATTAATTGACATTGAAACTGATTACAGTGAATTATAGTACATTTTTGTCGCTTAATAAATTTATCATTGTCGCTTTGGAGAAACTAAACGGGACTTTTTCATGGATCCAGATATCAACAACATGGACGTCAACATGTTTAATCAGTTTGTGTACAAGGTGTGTGTTGGTTGTTTAACTTTAGATAAATATTTTTGAAAAATAAGAAAAATGTCTTTTTAACATCTTTATATCTCAGATTAGATAAGAAGAACATTTCTTACATTTCTATATCTACTTTTAACGGAATGTTGAAAATTGCTTTTCTTTCTATTCATCTCTCTTTTTCACTCACTCGTTGTTTGTCCTAAATTGACCTTTTGTTAACTTTTTATGTCTTCTTTTTTTTTCTTAATTCTCTTCGTTATTCATAATGTGTAATGTCATGGTTGAATTTAAAATTTTAATGAAGTATGTTGATCTCACGATGTGACGAAGTTGTCAAGAAATAAATATCTAACACCTTTTAAGGAGGGATAGGTGCACTTTAAGTAAGTCGTTTTTGAAAACCATGCATGAAATGACAATAATAAGATGTCAATTATCGATTGATTCAATACAATGAACATCACATGAAGACTTCAGTAGCTTTATGTCTGAATTTAGTGTTCAATTTATAAACTTGAGAACAGAACATCATTCGAGTCTTAAACTTTGAACCAAACTTTTATTATCGTTCTTCTTGTAAGTCTTCATTCTTTATCATTCTTTAAATCATTCTTCATTCTAATCTCAATTCGACAGACAACATTTTTCAAGATAAATTTCATCTTCACGAGAATTCAAAGAAAATGAAGGAGAATGAAAAGAAAAAATAATTAAAAATAAATAAGAGTTTTACTTTTCGAAGAGTGGAGAGAGAAATAAGAAAGAAAAAAAGAACAAACTACCAAAGAGAAGTAAAAAAAGAAATAAACAAAGCACGGAGCATTTATTTTCTAAAGAATAGAAATAATTAACAAACAAACGGAATAGTGAAAGAAGAACAAATTTATTTATAATTAAAAATTAATTATTTGATTTTGTTTTTAATTCCACGTTTTGCTTTGTCATGGAAGAGACACATGATGAGGAAAATAAATGAATTTTTATTGTTTTACAATCAATGGAATTTGTTTCTTTTTATTAATAAAAGACGCGGCTTAAATGTCCAAGAACTGGTTTTCACAGCATAAATATTAAAAGTTATTTTTATCAAAAGTTAGTGTTTGCATAAGTAAATTATATAATTGCATAATACTTGAGAGTTTATGATCCAGTTTATGGCAATTGAAGTCGTGTTTCCGCTTCTGCTCTTTAAAAAAGAAATTTGCGTGCGCAGGTTGCGATAAGCTTCTGAGACATATTTTAATTGCTTTTTATAACGTTAATTGGAGATGGAAAAACGATTTCACAGCAAGATACTATGCTTTTAAATAAACATACAAAATCACTTTTATATTTCCACTTATGACGAAATTCTCCATGCATCTGAGGAAAGACATTTATCATGCCATTCTCAGCTGGACTGATATTCGGTTCAAGGCAACACCAAAGCGGAAATACCACTTCACATCTCAACGAGATAAACAGATGACAAATTATACAATAAAATACTTGAGGTTAATTGAGCGAATTCCATTTTACGAAATCTTTATTAATTGAATGGGAAAAAATAAGCTGAGAATAAATCGAAATAAAAAAATCATTTTAGTGTCATTGAAAAGATTTTTCACGAGAGATTGTCACACTTTGTTTCAACGACAACTCCCCCCAAACCCCATTATTATCATGAAAAATATCTTAAAGACATAGATATTTTTAATGAATCATATTCATTTAGTTGTTGGTTTTTGTTAACACAAGCACGATGCCTGATTGTCTCCTCAAATTTTTACGATGCCGTCTCGTCTTACTTGTTGAAATGAAATGAATTAAACCATCTGATATTTATTCGAATTATAAACACAGACTCTTGCCTTCAATTTACATTAAATCCACTTTTCATTTGCTTGCGCAAATATTTATCTAACAGATATAATTGAAAGTAAATTACGAAAACACATTTTTGCATATCATAAAATGCAAATTAGGCTAAATAAATCAAGAAATTTCTTAACAGTCATAAGTATTTATGAAACGAGTGGGGTTGAGGGGGAACGAAATGCTGCAAAATCTATGAAGTTTCATAAAAATATCAATTAATCATCTCTCGAAGTCCAATCTCATCTGAGGAAGGTCACATAAGTATAAACGAGAATGGTATAAAAATAATATTTTCACTAAAGTTGTTTCTCATGTTACTGACCCCAATTTAATCGCGTGTTAGGATTTCTTTTGAACATGGTTTGGTTTTTTTTTTTGATGGCCCTTCACAAAAATGTTCTCAACATTGAAATCATCGATTGATTTTTTTAAGCGGTAGATTTAAAGGAAGTTTTCTTACTTCAATTTAGGTCGAAGTCTGAACACCCCTCAGTACTTCAATACGAAACTTTCACTTTTTTTTGTAAGCAAATTTCCCACTCGAATATTAATTTACTGAATAAATATTGAAGCTCAAATATAAACAAGAGACATTGGACTTGATTTCAATTTACTTTCCACTTGCAAATATTTTTTTATATTTTCTTGAATCTAATTTAAAAATTTGCTATTGGTACTTACTTGCTGCTTTCATCTCTCGTTGCAATTACATGACGGAATAAAGAATGCAATCAAGTTTGTTTATTATCCGTTAGTTATTACAGTTAACTTTTCTCATATTGAGACAATCTTTGAGTGGATTACTAAGCTTCTTTAAGTATGTCTTAGCTAAACAGTATAAACCTCCATTAGAGAGATCTTAAATATCTTGGAATGTCTAATCAGATATCAAAACATCAAATATTTTAAGATTTTAAATAAATATTGATTTTTTTGAAAGTGTGTTCACATCACACAAATGAGAATGCGTTTAACGAGATGAAGTTGTGAGAAAGAAGAAGAAATGTTGTCTTTAAGGAACGATTCATTTATGTTAAAACAAAATTATGATCATCGTTACCGTTGATGCATATTGCAACATAAAACTCTCTTTGTGTTATCGCAACAAAGCGCATTTCATCGTTTTTTATTCTCAACAACTAAGTAATTTACAAGTTATTTGTAAAAGTAATTTACTAATTAATAGTCTCTCTCCTTGCATCATTAGTTTACTTCTTTTCCAACTCATTTTCTTGCATTTGTGCTTATCAATCGTTACATCTTTCTTCTATTATTATTCTTCGGTTCACCGAGAAGAAAATGAGAAATTTTGCTGGTTCAGTGCCCAACAACTGATAATGATCGTGATGTTAATGCAATATGAATATTTAAAATGGAAAATATTCCATTGATATTCAAACTAAAGTCTCACATTCTTACTGATTAATTTCATGACTTTTTTTCCTTCTCCAAATTTGAACACATGTTCCTTCATCAATTTACATTCTTTTTGCGAATTTTATTTTGGTTCACATAAAGCGATTTGTTGTTGTCTACCATAAACTGTTTTTGTCTGCGTGAGGATTTTTTCTTAACTGAAGAGAAAAAAATTACCAATAAAATTTATTTTTGGTGCTTCATGGCCATGAGCTGAAAGAAGTTAAATTACACTCAATTTATTTTCATTTTATTCACTTTTTTCTTTGCTTTCAACTTGTGGAGCTTTTTTTTCTTCTTTGGGATGAATTTTATAATAATGAGCTGTTAACCCTTTCGGAGATCGTAAAAACGGGCAGCATTAAGCCGTGAAGTTACGAGATTTTCCTTTAATCGGTGATGAACATCCGCGATAACGAAAGTTAATGAGCGTCCTAAAACGTGAAGAACATTTTGCACTTGCTATGATCTTACAAGATTTATATTATGATAAAATCGTATTCCTAATGACTCAAGTTAAATGTCAAAGTACCTACGGCGCTAAGGGGTTAAGTGACTTAAAGTAATTTCATTTGATGATCATATTAAGCTTTAAATATGAAATATGGAATTATTTTGTTTGTAAAGACTCAAAGCTCCCAGTTTCTTTGTTCAGCAGGTGTTCATGCAAGAAACACTCAATGTTTTCATCTACAAAATATTTATGTCAGACATAATTTCATTTTCACATAGTTTCAGCTTATTGGTTGATTGCTTTAAGTCGCGACCTTATCACAATACATCTCACTTCTTTTTTCTCACAACATCATGAATTTTTACATTTTTATTTTATGAACGCAAAACAAAAACAAGATTATTTCATTTCCTTTAAATCGTAAAAAATGTTTTAAAGCACTTATTCTGTAATGCAGTTGGTGCTTTTAGTGTTGATGATTCACTTCTACAAATATTTACTTCGTACTGCGAAAAATGCGATGCTTCACTGTACTTAGTGTTTGCTGGTATCTTAAATCTAAAAACCAGTTTTCCATTCATTCCATTTTATTACATATTTTTTTACGAAGAAAGAAATGCTTTTAAAGGTGCTTCCTTTAATCATAAAATATATTTATTAATTAACTCTGAGAGCGAAATAGCTATGAAGAAGACATAAAGAAACAATTTCTTTTCTTCTTTTTTTTTTGCATGAGTATAATTTCTTTTGATGATTCTTCAAGCGTGATAAGTAGCAAAAAGTTCTTTAATTCAAAAGATTTATTAAGAGAAATCTTTTTTGAGAAATAAACTTGATTCAGTAGAATGCGTTGATTAGGGGCTTTTGAAAAATTCAGACAAGAAAAGAAGTTTGAAAGCTTCAAAAAATTAACAAACCAATTCAAAAACTTTCAGATTCATTTTGATTGCTTTAATAATTGATGGAAATTATCGTTAGTGATATCAGCTAGTTTTGACAATCCTCATATGACTATTATAAATCTAAATTTCTTTATTTCTTTTTCAACCGCTGGCAATGTTTAACTTTAAGATTTATGACTCTTTAAGGGCACATTCAATAATTTATCTTGCAGCGACATACCTTTTTTTATAAATAGAAAAGAAAATCACTTTTGATAAACTTCATTTTCAGCTTAAGAAATTATTTTATTCGTTTTCTTATTATTTTCTTCTTAAAGTTGAAATGTTAATCTTGATGCGGCATTATCATGGTGTAGGGAGAGTGAGATGAGAGAAAACTGTTGAGTCAGAATGTCATTAATCTTATTCTTGTGTCCTCGACAAAAAACAAAAAAAAGAACAGAAAGAAGAAGGAGAGCGACTTGGGTAATCTCAGTTTGTTCATCTTATTCAAACCCCAGCAAATTAAGCTTCAAAGCTATTTTAGGAACATAAATTGACCTCATTTTATAAATGTCGTTTTCAGTTCCTGATGTCACGTTGATTGAGTTGAAGACTTTGCTGAATTTTACACATGAATGCACTTTCATGAGATGGAAAATGAAAATCCCTTCAGAGCCAATTATGATTTCGATCGGAAAAGTTGCACAATTATCTCGTTGATTATATTTAGTTGGATTTAATGTCGTGTAAATTGAAGATTACAACAGTAATTCGAGGACAGATATCTTAAATTAAATCTTTATCATTGAAGCTTGCAAAATTTATTGCACAATAATGAACTTGTCTCAATAAATTCAACGCTGAACGCTATGAAAAAGAAGAAAATATATCGGAAAGACGTGAATAAATTACTCATCAGAAAGAATTGAAATCATTAATTTCATTCGTTCATTCAAAGTTGTTCAGAAGCTTTATCGCTCATAAATTTCCTTTTTCTTTTTCTCTTGTTTTATATCGGGATTTTGATAATTTATAAAAATGAAGTAAGACGTTGCATGTGGTCTCATGAAATCATTTTTTTTCTGCTTTTTCTCGCTTCTTGAAATTTTTATTTCAATTTCTTCGTGAAGAAAGATTTATTAAACTCATTGATTTTATGCTGATTTTTTATGATTATTGGTTTATGATGATTTTGAAGTGTGGATATCTGTTGAGTTTGATTTAACGAGGCTTCAAAGCTTTTAATAGTTTCTAGACTTTTAGGCAATGTTAAACTGCTAACGAGCATGATGTTTCTATTAATTTAAATATTTTATGATCATATCTATAAAAGCAATTAAAATTAATTGATTGAAAACTGTAATCATCTTTTCAAAGTTCGAAACTGAAACCAAATTAAAAAGCATTCTTATAGAAGTCTTAAATAAAACCCACAAAAATGCATCGTCACGTTTCTCCTTTCGATGTAAACTCGTAAGTTTGAATTAAACGAACCAAGACTTGCTTCAAAAAAGTATATAAATAAACTGATAAAATGAAATTTAATTAAATTACATTGTTGGTTTTCTGATAAGATAACTTGAACAAGTAAATGTTTCATCACCATAAGAGGAAAAAATAATTCAACCTTTTCTCCTTCAAATGACGATAAAATTAAAGAGTTTTGTTAGTCACGAAATCGTGTTGAACGTATGTGAAAATTCTTTTAAAAAGAAGAGACTTGGCAACGATGTAAATATAATCATTTTCCCCCATTTTAAGTATTTAAATCAGACTTTCATAATTTAAATATAAAAGAGAAATGTGGTAAGAGGGTTAATATTGCCAACTTCTTAACAATTCTTTCAATGATACATTACAAGAAATTTGAATGTTTCGAGGCATTCAAAAGAGGCTTTTCTAACTGATGATAGCAATTACTAGAAGAAAGGCTCTAAACTTCTATTAAATATTTTCAAAGAAATATTTAATGTCAAAGAAGCATTGCAAGTTTAATTTCTCTACTGCCTTTGATCAGTCTTTTCAATACTTAACGTGAGTGGGTGGAGAAGTGTGAGTTACTGCCATCAATAATGCGATCAAACGAGAAAAGGAAAAATGATTAATAACATTTTTGAAAATCGTCTAATGACATGGAAAATTTCTTTTTGGCTTCAGTCTTTCATGTTTGATTGAATTTTATGGTTTCTTCATGTTGCGTCATTTCCAATCTCGTGTGTCATAAAAATAATTCTCTTTCGTCCCGAAATGTAACATAATTCATTTTCATTTTTAGTTAATCAACTAATCGGAAACACGAAACATTATCGAGACATAATGTTGGTCTTTGTCAAATAAGCAGATGGATTAAGAATAAATTTATCCATTCAGGGTCGTCTGATAATTTATCAATCGATGTTCCACGAAAATATAAAATGCAATTGGCTGAGAAATAACAACAACATCGCCACATCGATTGGAATAAATTAATTCAGATTGTAAAATTATATATAATTTCTTTAGCATTTTTATGAACATTCAATATTTTTCTTTCTCGCTCCCCCTCTCATTGTTGTTTTTTTAATTTCATATCATTAAATAGCAAATTTCATGTTATTATGCTTTGTTCTCTTCTTCCATTGATTCACCGATATATGTGTTGCTGTGGCTAATATTTCGACGAGGTGGAGGAAGAGAGAAAGGAAATAAGGGATTGATTAATTTAATTTATGCAATTTTATGTTCTTTATGTTTCTTTTGGGATCATGAACATAAACATTAAAGTATCAACAATTTTTCTTTACTCTATTTTAAGACTGAAACGATGATCTCAAGGATTTATATGTGCATGGTTCAAAAAGACCATCATCATCATCATGATGAAGAAAAAAGCGACTTAATGTTCGTCATATATCCTTGACAGTCGCAAAAATAAAACCAAAGCTGATCAATAAATTGATTTTGAAGCAACATAAATTGAAATGAAGCACATTTTTACAACTTTGAACTTAAACATAGTCGCGACAAATGTCTGAAGCTTGTATAGTATTCATGACAAAAGACAATAATTATTTAATAAGAGTGACAGGCGACGTATTGATTGGTAATTTCCCTCTCACTATTCAGATGTCATTCAAATCAATCGGAAATTGTATTAATTCAATTGATAAGCAAGGTGCGATAGCGCTGATGTCAAATTAACAGTTTCAAGAGAAAATTAATGTGTGATAAAAACGCAAGCAAGCCAAGCCATGCCAAGCCGACGAAGGGTGTTGGGGAAAACAAATGTTTTCCAATTATTAAAATGAATAAATCAAGCAGCGGGTGAAAAGAAAATTTTCTGAGAAAGGCAGCATATGGTCGGTCGAAGTGGTGACCCCTTTTCATCATTTATTGTTTTGACGACGATCGATGCATTTTGCCACGTCATTGGCCCTTACGAGCACATGTTGCAAGTCTTTTTTTTCTCATTTCATTAATGATATTAAAGCTCTATTCAGGAGCCATGATTATCACATCTTTTCATTAAACATTCTTCGTCTTCGTCTCATTAAAGAAGTTTCTCTCATAATAACAGGAATAAGCAAAGGCAACAAAGTACTTTAATGACGCGATTCACTTCTCGTTTTCTTCCTTCTAAAGCAAACACACCACGGAATTGAATAGCGATGAGAGAAAAATTATTTTTATTTTAGCTTTTAATTGAAACCTGTGTTGAACAATAATAATCTTAGGTAACGTTGCAAGCTCAACTATATGTTTTTTGAGATGATGATGATGATTAATGGCAAACTTTACGTCAAATTATCGTTTTCTTCATCGTTCATCCAAAGAGTGTTCCAAGACAATAACAAGACTTTTGATTGAAGTAATGAAATTGAAAGCAGGGTTTGTTATTGTTGATTTGGAAATGGAACGGTCGTTAGTTTAGAATGGGATTGTGAGATTTCTCATTGTTATGGAAATGTAAATAGCTTGCTTAATTTTGATAAGATTCTAGCATTCTATCATTTTAAGAAGACCAGCTTAACGTTGTTCGTTAGTTTGTTAAATTTATTTCAACTCAACGGCATTCAAATAAATGCGTGAAGTTTTCTTTGAATTTTATAATTGGCAAACAAGTAAATCATCGTCAACAAAAACTCCAATTAGAAACACAAACAAAAGCTTTAAATCTGAAACATTCTTTTAATCCTTGAATTATTTTTCTTTCTTCTTTCCAAATTATTTTTTCTTAAATTTCATTTTAAAGACTTTAAAACGAGAGAATTGAATTTAAACATCTGAAAGATGGCAGGTGATTTCTCCTTTCTTTATCTTTAGTTTCTTCTTTCTAAATCAGCTTTCGTTGATCGAAAGAGAAAATAAATATAAAGCGAAATTTGAAAGCAAGAATTATTGAAGACAAAAGGAAACAAAAACAGGATTTGTGGGTAGTTACAAAATGCGTCATAAGCCGTCGATCTTTTGGCTACCTTTTCATTCCTACTTGTTCCTTTTTTCTTCTTTTCGTGCATTGGCAAGCATCACATGTCTTCTCACAAGACGTAAATGAAAGTGAAACGAAAAAGGAAATTAATGACTTGAAAGCATCTGAAACAAAAAGAAGTTTTTGTCGTGTGCATGTTGTCCGATATTTCATAACTTGATTCTCACTCATCCTTCCTCATTCCACGACAACCACTTCGCTTGCTTTTTAAAAGCATGGCAAAAAAAGTATTCGTTGACAATCTGGTTTCTTGAATAAAAAAAACACTGAATTTATTCTCGTTCTTGTTGGCATTTCCTTCTTGTGCAAGGTGTTAAAGCCTTTTGATTGTTATTGTTTTTCATAATTCACTGATGTGTAATGTTGTGTGATGATTGGCGAAGCCATTGGAAAACAGCCGACTGGTGTGGTCTGTGGTATTTAAATTGTGCATAAAATATGAATTTATGTGAATTTATGAAACATCAATGACGATGCAATGTAGTGAAAATGAACATTTGATCAAACAGCATGTCAAAAGTTCTTCTTATGTTTGTTCCTGCCTCCCATTGCATCGTCAAGTCTGCAATGTTGTTTAATGTCAAGGTGAGGTGATTACACTTAAACGACGTTTTGTTTCTGAAAATTTAACATCAAACAGTTTAACAACTTCAACTATTCACCTTTAAGCTTAGCTAATAAAATAGGAAGGTTGTAAACATAATTTAATTAAGTTTTTTTTAACGTAGTGTAAGGTCATTCCATCTGCTCCATCCGACAACTTCTAAGTCGTATTTTTTAATTGTCTTTAAAAGAACAAAATTAAATTTGAAGTTTAACTTGAAGTAAAAAGAAAAAGAAAAACATAAAAATAGTTTTAAAGTACAATTAAATTTTTATGAGGCGACATACATAAGATTAAAAGGATTTCTGTTTGATTGATGATGTTAGAGAATGCTGGGAATTAAATGAAAGTTATGTAGCTTTTCTCATTTTTAAATTGAAGTTTATTAAAAGACTTGAGTTTGCTGCAACTCACGATTAATTTGCCCCTCTAATAATCTTCACCAGTGACTGTAAATCTTCCATAAATTCAACATCTTCTTTCTGTAATCATGCAAAAGTTTTCAGACCTAATTTAAACATTTCAATTTTAATGTGCACCTGGCTTTATTTACAACAGCTTCACATTGCCTTCATTCGTCTACTAGATGTCGGCGTTTCTTCAAAGAACTCCACTCTTGGAAACTGACAATGAAATTTGAGATAAGAAACTCAATATCAAATTAATTTTAATTTATATTCTTTAACGAATCTCCAATCAATTAAAAGAGAATTTCTGTAACCATTAAAATGATAAATGGACTTTTCTTGTCAGCGATTGAAACTTTCCTGTTTGTGTCTCCCCTTCCCCCTTAAAAATATGAAAAGAATTATTATTAGAGAGAGACATTAATGACAAATCATTATTGTCGTATGTAACATGATAGATCATCCAAAAAAAAATAAAAATAAAACAAATACAACAAATGTGGGAGATTTTCGTTTTTCGGGAGCTCCACAAACATACATAAAATTTTGTTAATTAATATCAGTGGATTCAGTCAATGAATGGTCTTTTATTGTTCACCATTTAATGATGAATTAATGGCGTTTGATTGCTCGCGAACATGGAACTCGAACTCACGAAGTTATCGATCATTAAATACAAAATGTATAATCGTGAAAATCAATCTGTTAGCTGGAAGCAATTATTTTATAGGCTTCTGTGTTGCTTAGATAAAGATTTCATAGATTAATCCAAGAAGGAAAAAAATAAAAAGGTGAACTAAGTAACGAATGTAATTTAAGAAAAAAAAATGCTGTTGGCCTCAAAAGAAAATTTTTCTGCTAGCTGCTGTTGCTAAATGGTTTGAATTATTCGACACACTTTTGTTACAACTGAAAAACTGCCGAGAGGAAGCTAAGACTTCAAGAGAAAAGGTCATCATTTAAAAAGAGGTTAAATGGTTAATAAAGATTGTGTTTGTTCAATGACTCGTTTCAGGATTTTTTTTCTTCTATCGTCTCTCGACCCAAAATCGATTTGGAATAAATTCTCAGTGAAAATGTTTTCGATTATTCAGCCTGTGAGTTTATTGTTGAAGATCCAACAGATGTTGCTCTTACACTCTCTCCACTTCTTTTTGTCTCAATCATCATTTCTTTCGCTTCAGAGGATTTTCATTCTCACCAACAACAAAATCTCATTCGCAGCCTCAAATGTTTGCTCAAGAACTTTTATTGTTTTTCCTTATTTTTCTTCCTTCTCTTCTCTTTCCTCACCCACATCTTGGTATAAATGAATGAATGATGGGAGCAGGGATGAATCACGAACTGCTTCGCTTTAACAACATCAACAAGTAGCTCATTTAACATGCTTTACCTGGGGCTTTATCACAGCTACTCCTTATCCTTTTGATTCAAAATATTATTCACTTAAATGTTAAATTATGCTTTAGGATTGTCCTAGATTCATTCAAAATGTCTTAAAGCAGAAATATGTAAAAAAGAAAGAAAAAAAAACATTCCACAATCCACAGCAGGTAATAAAAATTCCACAAAAGTAACGATAAACATTTTCAATGCCATATGTGAGGTAAAAAATAAAGAAATACCAAATAATAAAAATAAACTTCATATAAGTAAAAGAAAGAGAAACATGTGAAGGCAAGAAAAATGTACGATAATCAATGACCTAAACATGGTTAGGAATTTTGCAATTTCGCGCGTAAATCTTGTGCGTGCACATTTTTTATTTATGATAATCTCAGTCTTAAGATCTCGTAATTCAGAAGAAGATGGACGAAGCTTCTAGAAAATTGAACATTTAAAGCCAAAACAAACTACCAAGTTCGATTAAACCTCTGTCGAAAATTGATATTAATAGGCCAAATCAACAACTAATATTTTTTTATTAACTTCTCTTCCCTTCATTTGGAAGTTAAACTGTCCGACAAAATGAGAAGTTTTCTTCTTTCTTTTTATCCAAATTAAGAGTTTGTATGATTAATTAGTCGAAATTAAACGAAAAGAATGAGGAAAAGAAAAGAAAAAAATATAAAATAAATTTTACTTTGTTCAACTCGTAAAATGCTGAACAATAAAAGTTAAATTATCGTTAATTGTGGCTCTTTTCACGATACTTCATTTCTTTTCTTCTTCTTCGTCAAAAAAGGCTTCAAATTCATTGCTAGATTTCTTTTCTTTCATAGTCTTTATATCATTTCTTTAATTAATCAAAATTGTGCCTTCTTTTTTTTGTTCTCCGTTGTACACAAGACGAAAAGTTGTTAAACAAGTTACTGTTTGTATGTTTTTCACTGTCTTTGAAGCTGCTACTATTCATTGTTTTCAATCTTTAGTTGGGCATCTAATGGAACTAATGATTAACATGATTCTTGAACTCTTATTCTCTTGGATGGACGTTCAAGTGTAGCTACGGCTGCAGATCATGAAAGTTCAATCACCCGAATATGTTATAAGCTTCTTCGTTAATGATTCTCTTTTTGAATAAATATTTTCCTAGTTTGTTTTTCTCTACTTTGTCGACCTAACATTGTTGTTATGACTAGCTTTGAACTCTCGAGATTATTGTTATGAGGAGAAAACACGAAACTGCTTGAATTGCATCGCATCGCATCATAAAGTCGGAATTAAATGGCTCAACAGTTGTTATTATCATTTCACATTAATTCTAAAGACTTTAAAGTTTTCTTGGCATTTCCATCCCAATCAGAAGAAAACTCATTTATAAAACCGTTTCACAATTCAATACAAAGTTAAGAGCTGTTAAGAGCGTTTTGTTATGTTTAACTCAACTTTCTGTTAACATTGAAAGGTGCGAAATTCTTCAAGTTTCTTGAACGTTTCACACGCAACTACAAAGTTTTTTTATCAGATTTTGTTCATGTTACCTTCAACTTTATTAGTGTTTATTTAACCACTGTCATCTTCATTCGAAATGAAATCAATTTGAGTGTTTCGAAAAGAGATGAACTGTATTTATGACGCATTTTATTCGTGTTGCTGTTCACTTTTTTATGAAGTGAAAATTGTTTTTCCGCAATTAACATGTGAAAAGTTTATTTTCATTTCTGTCATTGCAGTCATTCATGAAATAAAATGCAATTTTGTTTGGCTTTTCAATTCATATAAACAAATTTTCTTTTAATTCAAGTGGACATTTTAATTCTAACCAGATGAAACGATGTTTAGATTCAATCTATGCTTTAATCATGACGACATTCGGTGTCGAATTAATCCTGAGCCTCTTTTTTATGTGTACAATAAATCAAAAAAAATTATAATCTTTATTTATGCAAGCCTTCAATTTGATTTCCAGTTTTGCTTTCTCTCTAACACTCCGTCCTACCAACTAATGCTTTTCAACATTTCTCTTGTCTGCTTTGCCTTACTTGCGTCGACAAAATACAAAATTTATGTCTTGTTTACTTTGAAAATTTATTCTGATTTAATTGAAAATATTGTACGTTCTCCTTCGCAGTCCCTTCTGTTGCCTTTTTCTATTTTATTTTTCATTTTTATTTTTCAAAAAAAAAAGAAAAAAATGAGAAAAACTCATAAAATGAAAATGAAAGAATAATAAATTTTCCGAAACATTTTCCAAATGAATTATTTGCTTTGCTAATTGAGGATTCAGGAAATTGTTTCTGACTTGAATGGAAAGTTTTTCTCTAACTGTGTTGGTGAATGGAAATCAGATGAGATTTAGATTAACGTCAAGATAGGAAAGAAACAGGAGATAAATTTCTTGATTTTCAATTTTTCACAACGTTGCACTGATGCTAGGATAAAACGAGACTTGATGAATTAATACGATTAAAAAAGTTCTTCTTACCCCCAATTCAATATTCAGACATATTCAGTAAAAAGGTATCGTAGGTACACAAACTATTTTCCATTAAAAATTCATTTTGTAAAATATTTTCAAAAACATTGAACTGTAAAATTGAAAATTATTAAAAATTTATTTCCTCAGATTAAAAACCTAAAAGTTTATAACAAATCAAGCAAGTTAACAACATGAAATACGAAACAGAATACTCTGCATTGCAAATAAGTTTGTCGATTGTTGAAATCAGAAATAAAAACTGCTATAGGATTTGAGATTTTCATGAATTCGACTGACTTTAGATGTTTATCGTGATCTTAACTTTATATGTTTAAAATTCTAAGGTATTTTCATGGATCAATGATTTAATATTATTTTATATTCACGTCGAGATTAAATTCTGAAGTATGCAAATGTATGTGCTTGAAGTTTGATTAAGTGAAACTAATTTTTAAAATTCCGAAATTATGTCGTGCACAAATTAGTATTCACAATACTTGATGCATGCATTGATGTAAATTTATTCAAATGACTTGTCAGATTCGTTCTTTGCGCTGCATCGTAATTAAATTAAACGTTTGAATAAGCTCCAATCTCACTGAAAACACTTTCAAAGATTTGTAGTTTCAACAATGAAGCGATGGCTGAGTTAAGACTTTTTAGAAGCATGAAATATAAAGTCACTTAAAACGTTCCATAAAACTGCGGTTGTTTCCTTTTGTGCTCTAAATTAACTTGTCAATGTAATAAAATAAAGTTAAGAGCGAGAAAAGAAGAGTAAGAAAAATGTTGGTAAGAAGTAAATGCTAATTCAACATGCAGTTGAAAATACATTATAATTAATAACGCGACAGATTATTAGTTCATTCATAAAAGTAACGACAATGTTTAGTTAGCCGTTCGTTGTTAAAAAATGCTTAAAGTAACACGCAGAATTATAAACGAGAGACAAAATCTCTCGTAAAATTTTTTCCTGTGCGTTAAGGAAAAAAGTTTTTTAGCAACTTTGAAGCTATTTTCAATGCTCATTTATGTATATAAGACTTGATTTGAATGTCAAGCAAATTTACATTTTAGAACATTTTTTTTTAAATTCATCAACTTACAGACGCGCATAATTATAAACGAATTTCAAAAAATAATTAATTTTTCGTTCATTTTGTGCTTTATTCTATTTCTGCTTTTAACATTATCTTAAGCATCCAAACAATGGTTTATCTGCAAAGATTTAATTTTTTTTCACATCGACTTCAATGTGAATTTAATGATTTGGTAGCTCATGTCTCCNTGGGGATGGTAGCCTTACTTCACTTTGTCATTAAATAAAACTGAAAAACTTCTTCATAATGTAACTTCTATTGATTTTAACATATCGACGGAAGTTAGAATAAACATTTTACGCAAATGAAAAAATAGTTGACACATTGTGGTGGAAGAAAATGAATCTTAAAGTACTTCACACCCGTCTCAAAAATATGCGATCTTGGAAATGTGGAAAATCGTGGAAAATTGAAGTGAAATGTTCTGAAAATAATGCTTAAATTTCATTTTCTGTCTTTCAGAATAATTTTCAGAACATTTCAATTCAATTTTCCACGATTTTCCACATTTCCAAGATCGCATATTTTTGAGACGGGTGTGAAGTACTTTAAGATTCATTTTCTTCCACCACAATGTGTCAACTATTTTTTCATTCGCGTGAAATGTTTATTCTAACTTCCGTCGATATGTTAAAATCAATAGAAGTTACATTATGAAGAAGTTTTTCAGTTTTATTTAATGACAAAGTGAAGTAAGGCTACCATCCCCATCACATGTTGGTCAAAAAAAAATTCTTAAAAGTTTAATATTTAATTTTGCAATACACAGGCTATTAGTCCCTACATATATGTTGTTAAAAAACCACACGCAGAAATTTTGATGTGTTGTCTTTTGATACCGACAACAGTTTTGATGTATAAGGAGACATGAGCTACCAAATCATTAAATTCACATTGAAGTCGATGTGAAAAAAAATTAAATCTTTGCAGATAAACCATTGTTTGGATGCTTAAGATAATGTTAAAAGCAGAAATAGAATAAAGCACAAAATGAACGAAAAATTAATTATTTTTTGAAATTCGTTTATAATTATGCGCGTCTGTAAGTTGATGAATTTCAAAAAAAATGTTCTAAAATGTAAATTTGCTTGACATTCAAATCAAGTCTTATATACATAAATGAGCATTGAAAATAGCTTCAAAGTTGCTAAAGAACTTTTTTCCTTAACGCACAGGAAAAAATTTTACGAGAGATTTTGTCTCTCGTTTATAATTCTGCGTGTTACTTTAGCTTGCAATTTAGTGCAGTAATAATTTCTTTTTCTTCTTGTTTTAAAAATGAACGTTGGCGGAGCTTTACTGTGAAGATTTATGCTCGAATGAATTTTTCTTCCCCCAGCCATTAATTACACGTTGGTTTCATTTCATTAATTAGAAAACGTGTTTTAACTAGCATAACAGTTCGGTTGAACATGAAAAGTTGCTTGTTGAAGGTGGAAAGTATTTAGCGGAAAGAAAGAAATTTCAACTGTGAGAAGTGAACTTGAAAGTTTTCTCTTGACTTCAATTTGTTTTCTTATTTGCAATAAGTAATCATTTGAGTACGAAAATAATCGCATTAAGTGCACCTGGAAATGTTGAAATCTTTTAAAAACTTTCGACCTTGAGTTTTATTCTTTTCGATATCGTCTCATGGAAAATTTCTTACGAGACTTTCGTGAGATCATGACCGTAAGACAAAAGAAAAGAGAAATTTCTTAAGAATAAGAAGATATCTGAAACTACTCAAAGTTCACTTGAGGTCAAAATTTGGAAATTAAAAACTTCATCGAAAACAAAATAAAAACTTTTCAGTTTTGGGTCGCTTGATGATGATTGATTGTCTTACGTGTTCTTTAAACATCATTTAATCATCTAAGGAAAAAAAAACTCTTTAAAAATATTTTTCTCGGAAAAGAATGCAATTTAATTTGAAAAGATCCATCAAATTAATGTGTTGAAAATTAATCTTGCGTTTGATATTTATCAGTTTTTAATTTCTTTTCCATGTCATGGATATTCTTGTTTGGTTGATTTGTGTTTAATAAAAAAAAGAGAAGAAAAACAAGTTTGTAAAAACTTCATAAACTTCCTCAAACGCCACTGAACTTCGACCATCATGCGGATGGTTTTTCAAACTTCTTCCTTGATTAAAAATTCCAAAACAAGTTAAACTTTTTTTAAACCAAACAATTTTTAATGGTCTACGTAACATAAAAAACATAATCTTAATTCAAATAAAGAAGGATAAAATAAAAAAATGAAGGAAATTGTAAACTTTCAAAGTGAAAAGTTAATGAAGCTATGATTAAAAGAGTTGTTTGAAGTAAAGTATAAAACTTTCCTTTCAACCGACTTAAAACACATTAATGATGCAATTATTAATTTACTTAGAGACAAACTTTATCTTCTTCTTGTTGCAGGGAAACGAGGAAAACTTAAATAACCCTTTATTGGTGCCTCAATATAGCATCAACGAGCAACCACATCAACAATCAGTGAACCAAACTTATCACGAAATGAGCGATCAGGTAAATATTTGGATGACAAAAATTACGTAAATGAATGACTATTATTGTGAAGACGAATACCAAATAGAAATCAGTTATGTTCGCTTAATGAGTTGTTTGATTGAGCTTTTCTGTGCTCGGATAATTTAATTAACTGTGGAATTTTAACTACTTTCTGCCTTTTTTTGTTTTTGTAATCAACTAATCAACAAAAATGGACTTTGATTGTTGTTTGGGCTTAGGGAAGGTCTAATTAATTGTGTTTGTTTTTCGTTCAATGTAAACTGTGGAAATAAATAGAAACACTCTAAATGTGTTTTGGACCGAGCTTTGTCAAATGTAAATTCTCCATTTTCCGAAAGACGCAATAAAATTACAACATGCTCGACATGCACAATACTACCTTCGATTGAGAAGGAAAATAAAATCCATTTTACCATTTAAAATGAAATAAAAATGCAACGGACAAAAAGACATTTATCAGTCGTATTCGAGAGAGAGAAAATAATTCGGAGGAAATTAATAAATTTCATAATGGTACAAAGAATTAAACCATAAATTAAAAATTTACAAAATAAAACTTGAATTTGCATACAAAAGCGGAAGAACGCACATAAATTGCCAGATCGAGTTTGCTTTTTTATTTTATTATTCCTCTTCTATGCTTTTCTAAGGGTCAGGGATGGCGAGAAAGGTAAGAGACTGATATTCAACCATTCTTCGTAAGAGATGAAGATACCATGCAGTGCCCTGCGCATCACATAAATAAAACGACAAAAATGGTAAAAGAAAATTCAAAACAAAAATTTATTTTTTTTCGCAAAAATATGAAAGCGCTCAGGATAAAAAGAGAACAAGAAAAGCATTAAGAGTTACGACTGGTAGTTTATGAACTAGCTAATGTGCCAAAACGAACGACCAACTATGCAGCATAAATAAAGTAAAAGTGGATAATAAAGAAATTGGAGATGCATCTATTGCGTTACGGGGAATGACGTTAATGGCTTTTAGGCAATTATTGAAATGATTTCAAAGGAAATGAACAACATTTTCGAGGAACACGATGAGATAAAAGCGGGAATTTTGCATACGTGGGGCATTTTCCAGTACAATTCTAGTACTTCTTCTAGTACAAAATTTAATTTACATAAATGTAGTAGATCAGATCATAAATTAAACTTTAAGGATTTATTATTCCCCTGCTTACACCCAAAAAGATAAATATTTTTCTACTTCAATAATCAAGATATTTTATTTATAGTATTGAGTTCACTTTCTGACAATTTCTCAATAATTCCTTTTCTTGTCGATTTATTTGCATTTTATGATTCTTCTCATGGCCGTTCAATAAATTAACAAAAAGAAATGATTTTATAATGCGTTTTTCTGGCATGAAGTACAGGCAGAAGAATAAAACTGAAGGAAAGAGCATAAATAACGGCGAATGCCGCAAAAGGGCACAAATCGATCGAAGTCTTTTCTTCTTCGCGGTGGAAACGAAAAAAAGAGAGAAGGAAAATTCGTATTAAAGTTGTCTCTTCTAAGTCTTTAAGCTGTAATTTATTGATTTCGATTTTACGAAATTGATAGCGAAAACGAGACACAACAAAACGGGCTGGCAGAAAATGAAAGAGAAAATACCGAAAAAAAACTGCATTTAATAAATTTTCAAAGTCTTAAATGTTCTCCATCGAATGCCATAAATTTCATTTTGATGTTTCTCGTTCAAACTTTTAAAAGGAATTTTTACTTTATGTTCACTCTTTATTTTCTTTGCGCTGTGTTTAATTTGTGAGACAACTCAGATTAATGCTGTCTGATTTGATGAAAAAAAGAAAAAGAAATCACAATCGTGTGATGAAAATTTTCTTTAAAATACTTTTTATAAAATTTTTCTTGCTAATTTAAAAGTCTTTAAAAAATAATGTCATGGGAGTTGGAAATTTTCCCAAATCGTGTTTGTCGACAATATCCAATCATCATTATAAAATCGAGTCAAAATTACATCGAATTGAAAAGCAATTCCCTAAAGCGTAAGTAATTCATCAATGTTGATGTAAGAATAATAACAATCGCTTGTCATTAGTTAAATGCTTGTCCAGTCGAAGTTTGATTAAATGAAATTTCAAGTGAAATTTTAACAATTTTATTAATAAAAAATTGGAAGAAAAATTATAAACATAAGTAAATGAGCATAAATTGATGAATCTTCATGGAATTATATGTTGCGCAAAAATGCAATTATTATAAATTAATGTAATTAATACATGCTGGTATTTGTAGTTTTTGTTGTGCGACCCAATCGATGACTTAAGTGGATGATTGTTCAGATGTTTAGATATGAACACAATGAATGTAATTACTTAATTGATCTCATCCTTCCAGACATTTCACACGCCTTCGTTCGGTGACGAAGAATTTGACATTCCGGTAATGCATCACCAATCAACAGAATCACAACATCATCAGTTAGATCAATATCAGATGCATGGTCATCCGATGGGTCTTATGAATGATCAACAGATTGTTTACAATCAATGGCATCAACAACAACAACCAACACCTGAAAGTCATATGATGACAAATCAATCATATCAATTACAATCGCCGAATCATTCCAATTTCCAACATATTTCTAGCCCCAATCAACAATTGCATATGATACAACAACCACTAAGTTCTCACCAACCAACGACAATTGGAAATCATCATCAACAACCTCAAATCTCACCGCAATTGAGTGCAACATGTAACAGTTTCATTGGACAATCACCAACTCAAGGAGTTCGTAGTAATGAAAATCCATCAACGAGTGATGAAAGTGATGACAATGTATTAAACGATCCAAATGTAAGTTAACTGTTTGTTTCCATTTTAATTGTAAACTTTTAATCTTCGCAATAACAAAAATACATCAAATCGAGTTATTTATATTTATGAGTTGAGATAAGTTTTATTACAATAGATAATTTGAAATATGACACAACATAAAAAAATGTTTTATCGGCAAATAATATTTACGCAACATATCAAAAGTTAATTATTGATCTTTCACTTCGTTTTATGCTTAATCATTGCTTTGATTAATGATGTTATTTTGCTCCACCTCATGATATTTTTTTCTGATATTTTTTCCCTTCTCCCCTTTGGTTTTAACTCGCTTAACGATAAATGAAGAAAAACTCGTTGTTATCAATCAATTGAGATCTCAATTTACCCGCCGTAACAAAAAAGCTGGTAATTGTCAATTAACAACGGCAAATCAGACAGCATTGTGAAAACAGTGAATTATAAATTCAGTCAGAAAATATGTATAAGACAAGAGGAGGTGGAAAAGAATGGAAAAGGGAACAAATGAAACAAACAGACACTAATTGGATAAAACAATTAAAAAAGCACATGAAACATGTTGTTCCGCAATTGGTTGCTAGCGTTCGTCGAAAAACATAAAAGCGGGCGAGAGATCAATCGAAACATTTTAAGAGAAAAAAGAAGTAAAATGAAACATGAAATGGAATACAAAAAATAAACAAATCGATGTCAAGGAGAGTGACATTGAAAATGATTTCCATGTATAAAGTAATGAGCTGTCAAACTTACTGGAGGCTTAGCGAAAACATGACTTCCGGGGGTCACCAATTACATTTTATTTTAAGTCAATTTCATCTCAATTTATGGGAAAACTCAAAACATTTTCAACACTTCGCTATCAATCAGAACACAAATATTTCTTTCATAATAAAACCTGACCATAACTTGACTATTTTTTTCTTCTGAAATCTTGCACAATTCTTTTCATACCTCATTATTAATGACACGAGTTGAATAAAAGTAAATCAATTGCAAAATCATTTCAACTCAATCTCGATTTCACTCTCGACAATTGTTAAGAGTTTTCAGCTGTCCAACTTTGCATTGAACTGCCAATCGAGTGATTTATGAGTTTGGTTCTCTCATTTTCGTGAATTGAAATGACTTAATTAAATGTCCAACATTGAAGACCTTGAAGTATTATGGAGTTGACCCGTTGATCTCCCGTTCGTCCGCCTTAACGGAAGCTTTCTTTTTTTCTTACTTTTTCTTCAACATAAATGGACATAAAAATGTGAAAGATCAAATCACTTTGTATTTTGCAATGACTATTACAAACGATTCGATTCTATTATCTGTTGACTTGGCTTAGATATTCAATCAATTGTATACCATTTTCGTCAGGTTTTCTACGTAATGAATAATTGATGAATGTGCAGAATGTTTTTTATTCATTTTTTTCTTTCCTCCTGAATTTACAACAAATTTATAAACATTTTTTAACATCACGACCATCACTTGGAATCCAATTCACCATTTGCAGCGCGAAAATGAAAAATTCCGATGCATAAAATGTTTTCTGTTGAAGAAAAAAAAATTTATGTTGCAAACGTGCAACGAAACTAATGAAAATTTATTGCGCTGATTATGATTTATGGTCATTTTTGCTGCTGTCGTTCTTTTAAATTGGAATCTCCCTCTCAGAATTGTGCCCTTGCGACAATTTTTAATACTTTTTCCTCTGTTGCAGAATGCTTTTAAACATCCATCATCCGATCCATTCGCTGACGGCGATTTACCAAAAGGGAATACAGCGAAAAAGACTAAAACAGTGGCTAAGAAAACCACGAGAAAGAAGAAAGATCCGAATGAGCCACAAAAGTAAGTTAATAATTATCGCCTTTTAATTTAACAACTTGAATAAATGTTATTGATATTAATAGCATTCGATCAATAAAATAAAATTAATAGAAAGAAAATTAAAAAATAAATTGAAAGTAAACAAGATTGAATTAATAATAAAATAAAACCCACAACAACGAACGATCTTGTTGTCATTCATGATTCAATGGATTTGATTTAATTATCTATATTTTCAACTTCAATAAGCATGTTAAAATCAAGACTCTTTTTTTATTTTTATTCTCTACTTTTACAACAAACAAACGTCTATTTTTGCTTCGTAATCATGATAAATATGCTTGATGCACAATTTCTTTCTCAATCTGACTCTTACATTTTCTATTCTGATTATGAAGATATCCTTGCCACAAGCAATTTATCGCTCATGAATTTAACTGCATTTGATGTCTTGCCAGCTTTGTAGTCAGTCGTCTTCTATCCTAGTAGGAAAAGAAAGATGAAGAATGAGTGGGTGTTTAATCAAGATGAAAGTTTCTCTGCTCAAGATTGACTTGATTCTAAATTGCATGCTGACGAGCTACGAGTTTACAAATGTTTTTGTCATATTTAATTTAATTCTTTGAGTGATATTCTTTCTCCTTTGGAAGCTAGTTTTCGTCTTAGTAGCTTCTTCTAACAATAATAACAACAACAGATTGCTATTGATGTTTGTGAAGGAGATTTTTTATGAAGCTTAGAATATATTAATGATTAAACATAACAAACTTCAAGGAATTGAAGTTTAAAAATATTTATTATCGAGCGAATTTCTCTTCAATTTATTACAAATCCCTTGCTTTCTTTTCCATTATAGAAAGTTGATGAAAACCTCATTAATTATGGTCGATTTCATGTTTGCGTTCTCGACATAACTTGAGCTTGATTTTATTTCTTCGTCTTTCTTCGTTCTTACATTTTCATTTAATTCATTACTTTAATATTTATTGTAGATATGTACAAATTTCTTTATACTTATGTGCATACATATTTATTTATTTATTTACTCATCACGAAACTTTCCAACGAACGATATGCAAAGATATTTAAATTGAAACGAATTTCTATTTAAGTTTGTTTCATGCGATTCAAACTTCTTGAGAAACGACATCAAAGAAAAAGTTTCATCTTGAAAGCTTACAAATCTAAATTTTCGTCTCTGATTATCAAATCAAATTTCTGAGATCTTTTTAAGAAGTAAAGTTAAAGAAAATTTTATCTCATTACTATTCCATCTGTAGAATTCTAATTAAGAGTCTTGTAATGTAACGATTACGACTCAATTACTCTAATTCAACCTTTTTTTTCTAATCTTCTTTCACAGGCCTGTAACGCCTTACGCTTTGTTTTTCCGAGACACACAAGCGGCTATCAAAGGACAAAACCCAAATGCGTCGTTCGGTGAAGTTTCTAAAATTGTCGCATCAATGTGGGACGTGCTTGCGCCGGAACATAAAAATGTAAGTTTAACCAAAACTATCGTCAATTTACTGGAATTCTTTAGAGTATTGCGTAGCAAAAATTCTTGAGAACAGCAATTAAAACTGAGAAATGAATAAATTTTGATCGGTTAAGCAGACGAACAAAAGCAAAATAAAATGAAATTAGAACAAAACTGTAGCCATAAAGACTCATAAAATAACGCTTGAAAATGCAAATTTACTTGCTTTAAAGATGAAAATCCCTCGTTCTTGCTACAGTTGAACTCGACACTGATTGCGCTGCTACTGCCGCTGCTGTAAAGCTGTATAATTACTAATCCAATACCAATCCAACCGAAGGGCAATAAAAATTAAAAGAACATAAAATACAAATTTTTTTTCGTAATAAATGCATTGCATAAATTATTCCAACGATTTCCGTTGTAGAAACATTGAGTTTCAAGCCAATGGATGTATGTGGAGATTATTTCGTGGAAAAGGAAAATGGGAAAATTATGAGTTTTCGCGTTGTTGGTTTGGTGAAGAAGGAAAATGAAAAAGTTTCATGGCATTGATAAAGTGTTCTGAACTTGAAATGAAAATTTCTTCTCTCTGAAATTCAAACTGCAATAACTTAACAGAGAAATTCTTCGTTAAATATCTTTGGGTAAGTTGGTTTCAGAAACGTTTTTCTGGATTAATACTTCTCGATATTTTTCCTTTTTTCCTTCTTTTAAAAGTTCAAGTGCAAAAGTTTTGGGTTTAAATTAATTATTTGGAATAACTTGAGACAGTCCGAAGTGCTTGTTATCCTTCTTGAACTCTATCAACATAAGTACAATCATGTTCTTCCTGAAGATGAAAAATTTCTTTCGTCTGTTAAATAAGTTGCCAGATTCAAAATACTTGAAAACAAAAAGAAAATTTCAACTTTTGCGGTCGATTTGTCATAAATTTTCGGTTTTTCTAGGGCAAACAAACTGAAATGAGAGACAAAGAATAAAAGCAAAAGCATTCCATGTTTAATTAAAATTTCACAAAGTGAACAAACGAGTTAAGAGCATTTTTCACATTTCCCACTTTCAGTTCATTGGTACACAAAAGTTTCTTTTTGCTCTCTGAAGTCATTTTCACGTTTAAACCAAAAAAGGTGTAAATTCGTTTCATGACGAAAACAAATTATGGTGAACACATTCCGACGCAGGGAAATTAAATTGAAATTAATAAATAACACTTGCTGCTTGTGTGTAAATTGTTACTTTGCGGTTTCCTAAATTTTCCAATTTTCCTCTTTTCCTTTTCTCGCTTTTTCTTCCGACACACTGAAAACGACGTTTAAATGTTTTCCTGTTTTCCGACGCTTTAAAATTATTTTTCTTGTTGCTGTGATAAATAGGAAAAAGCGTAGAACTTATCAAGATTATTTCATAAGATTTTCTTTCCATTCTTCATTCTTTTTATGGCACAACATACCGCAAAAATTACTAAACATTCAAACTAAAATTATTAGTTAGTTGTTATTGCAAACATTTTCTGCAGAAAGTTTCCGGATGGATATCTGGCATGAATTGAAAAACGAAAACAGGAAAGAAAATGCGATTTTTTAGTGAAATGAAAGAAAAAGTTGAAACTTAAATTGAAGCGACAATTTTACTGTCTTTTTGAAATTTATAAGAATTTCTTTCCTTCCTAATGAACATAAATAAATTACAAACTTTTGCTACTTATTCACTTAAAAAATGAAGGTTATCGCTAGTGATAAATGAAACCCTTTTTTCAGTATTAAAACATCTCATGTTGAAGTCACGTTTCACTTATGATGAAAGCATATCAAATGAGCTTCACGATTGAGTTTAAATTCTAGCGTTTCTGTCATCGACTAAGAATTACTTTCGTCATGCAAATTTTTTTATTTTTTAACCATGACACTATACAAATGAGGTTAATTGCTAAGTGAACGATTGAAAACCGCAAAAATAAGAAAAATAAAAAAATAAAATTCATCGCGTCATGCAACAGATGAAAAATTTTGGCAATTTTTTGGATTCGATCGAAGTTCAAGACTTGTTTTGACAAGCGTTTCATCATGATGAAAAATCACGAAAATTGATTTATAATTTATTTTTTTCCTTTCTCTAGTTTATTTCATACCGTCAAGCTTATTTATTAAGGATCTGTTAAAAGTTTGCTTAACTTTTTTTCAATTTGGTTGATGGGTTGTCAAGACAAAGAAGAGCAGACAGAGGGGAAAGTGAATAATGTAATGTTTAGCAGGTTGGAGAGAAGTGATTTAATATTTAAAGTGCTGTCTACGATGAAAAATCTTTCATAAATCATGGCAATGAGCGTCAAGTGCATGGGGATCAAATTTTATCCTAGTCAAAATCATAAATTTTCATTTGCTTTTGACTTTTCATTCAAAACAAGTTTGCCATGAAGCGAATAACAAGAAAACATTGTAGGTTGTTATTTATTTTGATTCTCCTTGTCATTCATTGATTACAATTTCAACCCACAACAATATTTCTTTGAAGAGCGTTTGAAGCTCGATTTCTTTAAATATTGATTTCAAAGCAACAACTTTTTTTTATTTTGTGAAAGGATAAAAACTTCCTCAAGACATCTCTTCCCACAAATGCTAACATAATTCTAATAAAAAGCTTTTTCTATATTGAGATTAGATAAATGTTATTTGAATTCTTAAAATATTTCCACAAATAATTTATGACTCATAAGTTTCAAATTTTCATATCTTTTTCATGTGTTTCAATTGTTCTGGAAGAATTGACGAAAGCAGGTGATGGTGCGACTTTTCCACCTAAAATATTGATATTTTATTTGTTTCATATCTATAAAGTTTCATACATTTTTAATACACGTAGGAAACTGTGCAGGTTTTGTGAAACTACTTAAAGCTTTCGTCATTTCATTGCGATTGCCCAGAAGAAGAAAAAGAAGAAATTGTCTCAGGTTTATTTTCAACGTGAGTCAGAGTAATGTGAGGTGTTTTTATGATTATTCTATTACGTACAATAATCCAATAAATTATGATCGAAAAATATAATTTGTGCGGTCATATGAAGCTTGGGAGAAATTTAAGAAACCAAAATGAAGTTTTTGAAGTGTTTACGAATATTTGAGCGATACGAAAGCGTTTAACTTCATTAATAATTACTTTCCTATTTAATCGATGCAACTAATGGATACTTCAACATCATCTTTGAATTTAAAACGTCACTTTAAATGATAAATTTGATTATAAAATTTAAAGATGAATGGAAAACTACTAAGCTCGAGATACAGCATAGGAAAGAAAATGAAACAATCAATCTTCATATTTGAATAACGCGAAAGCATCAATTTTCCACCCTCTCTCCTCCGGAAAATGCAATCAATATTCATCGTTCACTCTCGTGCTCTGTTTTGAACTTGAGCTGATGATTAATTTAAATTTTCCATCCAGTTTAAATATTGATTCAAGTTTGTTTCCACCGCCATCTTGTAAGCTCATTGTCAATGATAAAATTTATATTCACTGAACTTCTTCTAAAATAATATAAAATCAAATTCATGAAAAAGTTTTCCTCGAAAATTCTACGAGAAATTCAATTAAGTTTTATTTGATTTTCGAGCAAAAACAAAATGTAGAAATAATCAATGAAAATAAATTTTTCAAACAGAGAATTCCGCAAAAATTTTCAACTCATTTAATTCTCATTCCCTTGATTTTCTCCGCTCCAATTTCTTCATAATTGTCTGAAAAGAAAGTTTAATTAAAGTTAAACATTCTATCCAACATCATAAACTGTTCCACACTTCCTTCTACTATTTTCATTTTCCATCCCTCCCAATCATCACCCATCGACAGAAATAAAATTTCGTAAATTGTGGTTTTTCTTTCTCATTAACTTGATAATATTTGCAGTTTTCAGAAAATAACAGACGATAAAAAGTTGTTTTCCTCGAAAACTTTTACTATTTAGAATGATTGTTCTTCATGACATTACAAAAGAAAGGAAAAACTTTTATTCTGTCATTGTCTTTTATCGGAAGAAGATGAAAATCATTTCCTTCTAATATTGAATGAGACAATCAAAACAACGACGAGTGTCAAACACCAAATATCGATCTAAATAGTTTTTGCTTTTCTCTTTATAACGCTTCAAAATATTTATTCATACAAACAAATTTAAACTATTTTGGAACAAATGAAACGATAAAAAACAAGACCAGCAGGTGTGAAGCAATCATAAAGCATTGTAAAAAAACAGCATGAAATTAATGACAACCTAACTGCGGGTCATTGCGAAAATAGATTTCGTCGAGGACGACATTTCTCCAGGCTGCAAATTATTTATAGCACGCTCGTTGATCATAAGTATGATTTCAAAAATAGAAAATTTTCATGCTTAAGATTACCACCTGCTATGCATTTAATTATAATTTTTTGTGACGTGTGACTGGAGAAATAATTTGAAATATTACGTACAAAAATATCAAACATATTAATAGATACATTCAAACAAATTTCATAATTTAGTTGTTGTTGAAATGGAGGAAAATTGATGATTCCGATTTTTCTTCTTCTTTATGTCTTTTTAAACTTCATGAAAACTCACGTTCAAGTTAGCTTGAGGCAGCAAAGTATTTTCTAACATAGGGCGAAAACTAACTCTGGAGTCACATATATTAAAGCATTTAAAAACTTTCATAATTTAGAAACATTAATAAATCATTTTAATTGCTTTTAAAGTCAATGTGACTTTTCTCGTGAAAATGAAAGATTAAGAAAAGTTTTCAAAGTAAAAAAATAAAACATTGGATGAGAAAACCATAAAGAAAAAAGGAGAAGTTTAAAGTTTTGTCTTTTAGAGTTTAAGAAGTTTTCGTTTTTGGCAATAAATTAGACTTTCTAATTATCGGAAAACATTTTCACTGAATAACTAGCACTAATTATATGCGTCAACATTCTCGGATCAACGACAGTTTAATTGACTTACTCTCAATGAATTTTTTGCGGCTCTTCATGATGTTGAAGGAAGTTTCTCAAGAATTCATTTCCTGAGTATTTTGTGATTTAAAATTCTAAAGTTTGTCTCAAGGAATCTCCTTACTTAATCAAATACCATTTTTTTTGTTCAAATTATTAAGGAAGCATGAATATTAATGCAAGAAAGGGAATTTTAATAATCTACAGGAAAAGATTTTTTTCTTTTTAATAAAAATTCCTCGAGAGAAAGACAAAAATTGTTTTGTGCTGGAATCCATTTGGCATGTCAGTTATTAAAAAGGCAGAAAATTGTAAAAATGTTTTAAACTTCTCTTCCTTCTTTATTGCTGAATAAATTCAATATTTTTTGCTCGTCACGAAAATTAAGTTTTAATAAACAGCCAACAATAGATGAGAATTTATTTCTTTTATTTCTTTCTCGATAGGTTTACAAAAAGAAGACAGAAGCGGCAAAAAAAGATTATTTAAAAGCTTTGGCAGTGTATCGGGCGAATTTAGTTTCTCAGGTGAGTTGACAATGGATTTTAGTTGCGTAGAGATGTTTCTGATGGATTTGCTAACAGGTAATTGGATGGAAAACTGAATGAGCTTGCTTATGAAATGAAATTACATTTTTTATGAAAAGCCAGCAGAAAATGGAAATATTTCTACTTCGATGCAATTTTCATAGTCGGAAAATGATGATTTTGAAAGATTTTTTCCGAGAAAACATTGCCTCATCTCAAATATCAAAAATTTTACTTCATTTCCCATCCAACATTTTATTCCCGTTAGTCAGCGAAAATTCAAATTGGAAAATTCTCCCCCAGCCTACATATCTTTGTTTCCACCTCTCTTGCCAGCCTCAAATACTCATCATCCAAAGCTAGCGAAATATTCCAATTTTCTAATTTACCTAATTTTTGGTTGCTTTGGAGTCGGCGCACATTTCAGTGCCTGCATGTTGGTCGAGGAAATCACCGCAGGAGATCCGGATCATGGTGGAAATTTCCGAAAATTCTTCCTTGCATCATATGCAGAAGTGTTCGAGATAACTCGAACTATTCAATCGTTTTCTTTTATACTTTAAATTAAATCATCTGATTAGAAAAGTCCAGCCTAACCGTTGGAATCAATTGAAAATGCTTTTAAATTATTCAAATTCATTAATTCTCATTAAAAAAAGTTTTCCATTATAATTATGATTTTACGAAATTACTCTCTTCAGTAAATCTGTATACACATAACATAAACACACAAATCAGCAGAAAATTTTGTTTTTCACCATCCTTGGTCCGGTAATTGCGGCTTTCTGATGTTTTTAATTACTCTTCCTTATTTACATATTAATAAATATAAATTTTGAAAGGAAAATATGAAATTGAAAATGTAACAAAACACGTCATCTAGCGGTTGAATGTTTTTCATTCATTCTACATATTTACGAAAGTCTGACACAGTGAATCAAATTAAAATGATAATTTTCCAGCTTTTCCTTCGAGAGAAATAATTTTCTCTTTCTTCCATCTCTACAAGAGAACTTAATTGGAAGCGTTCTTACTTTCATTGTTGTTAGTGTTTGAAATGAACGTCAATAACAAGTTTCTTTGTTGACACTTTGACATTTTCTTGTGTAGGGCCAATTAACTTTCGCCTCATTGTCTCATTTTTATCTCGTTTTCTTTTTTTTTTTGTCCAGCAATCAACTCGTGTCCAAACGATGACAAACATTTTTCATTGATTAGAATCAATATGAGTTTTGTAGGCTTTAATAAGCTTCACTTGTAAATCCTTTTAATTAGGGTTAAACATGCGCTTGAGTTGTTTGTATTTCCTTAATTTAACAACTCTGAATATATCACTTTATTAAATTTTATTTTATGATAAGCTTCAAAGAGAGAAATCTCTAAAACCCTGATCATTGAATGTTTATTGGATTCAATTTCAATTTTTTGTGATTCCATCGATTTTTTGAGTCACTCAAAGAAGTCATTTGATTGGCTTGAAGCAAAAATAACAAAAATAAAGCCTCAATGAACTTGAATCGGAGAAAAAATGTTGACTCAGCGCTGCTTTTCGATTGATAAATTAGATTCATCACAATTTAATCCTTTTAAATTCCCTTCTTCTCCTTCCACTTGTTTTCCAACATTTCATTCAGTTTATTCTTGTTTTCTTCCTTTTCGCAATTCCAACTCTGATCCTATTTCTGTTGTTGGTGTCTAATCTTCAATTTATTATTTCAAATTGTCTCATCAGCGTTATCAGCCTTTCAATGAAAAGAAAGAGAGTTTAATTTAAATTCCATTGAAATGAGTCTGATAAGCCATTAGCTTGAATCTTTAAAATATCATTTATTCAATTGCAACCCCTCGCTCGAAGTAGATAATACAACATCACATACACACACAAATGTTTTAAAGTATATAAACATATATCCACATATATACCACATGATGTAGCTAAACTGGGGTTGACGCTATTAAATTAATAGGAAAACAATTTTCCCCTTTTTCTTTTTACATTTTCCTCAGCACCTCTTTATTTATTCTTTTTCTTCTATTCAAATGGGGTTTGAAAAAAGAAATTCTTAAGGCCCATGGGGTGAAACATGAACATATCACACTCAAATAAAAGTCTAAATTATATTTTTTGATATTAAAAAAACAAAGAAATAATTTTCCATCTGGGAAAGTTCACCTTCTCGCTTCGATTTCAAAAAAAGAAGAATGAATCTTGAAACAACAAAGTAAAAATTCTGTCAAAGAAGAGAAGAATTCAATAAACGATAAGAATATATTTTTCCGGAAATAAACTATTCCAAAACCAGATAATTGCGGAAAAGTTATTCCATGCCAGAAAATTGCGGATTTTTTTGAAATTTTTACCGTTAGAAATATCAAAGTTT